TATTAGTCATTACAAAACGAGACGAAACAAAACAAAAAAAGTGGAGAATACACAATCCCTTATAGAATACAAAAATTCTATGTATTTTTTTCATATCTCAAATGGGTGTCTTTTTTTATAGCTTCCGTTGTCTCAACCTTCTGTTCCCTTATAATAAATAGGATTATCATTATTTTGCCCATTTGTGTTTATGACTCAGATAGTCTGGGGATTAATAGTTATCTCGATGTGTACTTGTCATGTAGACGATATATATATATATATATGCATTATCAGCTGATTAAACATACTTGTTGTGACAAGGCATTTACGATGATTAATATTAGTCGACTTGATAGTTAGAGTAGATTCGTTCCTATTTTTAAAACTGTATATATGTTTACATTGATGTATGTGCATGTGTGTTAATATGGTTATTAGAATGAAAAGTCCGACGTATGGAGTATAAAGTACGTATTACTATCGTATTATTGTATTGTCTACTTTAATTTGTTGTCATTCAATATTATCACCAGTATTAATAATAATAATAATCTATCAGCACGAATGTATAAAAATGAATTGTTTTTGATGAAATTATTTTGTGAAAAACTGTCCTATTTGAGCCGTCCTAATGATCTCTTCATAAAATGGAATGTTCTATAATTACTAACTAATTGTAGTGTATGCCTCTTATGTTGACAGATATAAGTAATGTATAGCAGGAATTGGAAATGAAATGCTTTCCAACAGAAGTTTGAAATAAAGAGAAGAGGACGGTGAATAGAGTACAATCGGAATAACAACAGAATTAATAGGGTGATGGAGTATGTAAAGGACAACTGGAGAATGATCTACAAATTATTTATTTAATGTATGATTTTCATATTTTAAAAAGACACTTTGTGATTTTACATTACGCAATAAATTGTTTATCCCTAACAATTTAAACAATTTATTGTTCACTCTCGCCCTCAACTGCCCTGGCACGGTCGAAGGTGGGGAAAGTTAACTCTCCCTCTCAAAATGCTCTCACATAGCCACGTGCATACAACCACTGCCTGAGAAGTCCTACTCACTGTCTTCTCGTGTTTGTTGTTTGCGAAATCGAGAGAATGAGAAGCGAATGTCCGGCGCTTTAACCAGGTTAGTGGATATGGAGGATCTGCCTACGGGAGTTGGGAAACCCTAATTCCAAATCAACGGTGTACTTGGGCTCCAGGATCCTGAACGAATAAATAGCGTATGAACCAATTATTGGTCACCGACTACCATGGGACTGTATCTCCTGATGTTGCTCCACTGCCTTGTGGATTAGACCTGTAGGTCGAAGGCTCAGGGTGTGGTCCCTAAAAAAACACCTTCTATCTGAGCGCTCGGGCAGTATCATAGCCCACACACAAACCAAATGACTTATGTGGCGCATATGTATTCGATGCCCCTTTGTACCAATATATATATGTGTTCAAATAAATAAATAAATAAGTTTATTCCCGTCAAGTCTTCGTTCAATACATGCATATAAAGCTTGGGATAACTGGATTTTCCCATGATATTAAGTAATTTTCAACGATGCTTATATAACTATAACTTACATATATTAGATACAAATTAATTTACCGAATGTGGAAATGAAAATAGTTTTTTGTTATTTCTCCCAGCTTATATCAACCAACTAGAATACTGACTGTATAAATTGTATTTGATAATCATACTGGAAAAAATTTTATGTCGGAAGAAAACATCTTTCGAAAATTGGTTACATCGAAGTCACATTATACTGACTGTTTTTGGTGTACTGTTTTATGTTTGCATGGTAATTTAAAATGTGAAGTTAACTTTCTGATCCGAATTTTATTCCAGTCATCATGTCTTCATCAACTGCTATGATTGACACATCCATATACTACATATACCTAATCACTGTCTACTTCGACATACAATGGTCATTGCTTTAATGGAGTAGATTAGAAGAAAGCTAAGACTGTCTAGTTAAAGTTTTCATGATTATCGTTGGGTAATATAATCAAAGTCGTTCTCAATAATGGATGTGCCTACCTGGATCATCCTCCCTTATATATTAGGTTTCTAAAATTATCTTATATTTTTAAATGATGAATTCATTTTATCTTCTCAAATCATATTATCTGATGCTTGATATTTTTTACTACCACTGATACTGTTACTACGTATCGTCTACTCGAGTAATTTCACCCCACTGCGTTGTTTCTTTGAAAAATTATTTTGTTTACAAGTTAAATTTATTCAACATTTATTTAACATCAATGGTTAAGATCATGAGTCAGTTGGAGCTAGCCCACCACCTTGGATCACTGGACGGCCATTTCGTCCTATTGCGGGACTCCTCAGCAGTGCGCATCCACGACCTCACCCCCTGCCAGATTCGAACCCAGGACGTACTGGTTTCTCACACGAGCACTTAACCACTAGACCACTGAGCCGGCATCCGACGGTGTTAATGTCTAGGATGACTTCAAGATTAATATCATTGATGCATATTCATACTTTAAATTATTATTCAATGTCTATTTTAAAATCCACAACATAAAATTATTCGACTATTCCGCTCTTTTTTTTGCTACTGTCGGACAGTAATTCCTGTTGTGTTTTTATTCATTTATTAAAATTAATAAATAATAATATGGCCATAATTAGTTGTAATAATTTCAATGAAAAACAAACAAACCAACTAATTCTCTCTCGTCATACACACATTTCAAAGTTCCATATTATTCCCTCTCCCCCACTTGTGAGTACTATATATATATATATATATATATATATATATATATATATATATATATATATATATATATATATATATATATATATATATCAGTCGTGTGTACGTTCACGGACATCTATACAACATTATGGGTGTTTCCGTCCATTTGTCTCGGAAAAATAATGAATATTAAAGATGCATATTATTATATAAGCAAATGAAAATTTATTTTATATGAGTAGAGCTATTTATCATTTTTATAGTCTATACCGAAATTACATTTTTCGAAACAAAAATATATATATCGTAGCAACAGTTATAAAAGGGGGAGGAGTTTATTAAACTATTTTTATTTGTCATTAATTTTTGTCATGAGTTGTTTTTTTTAATTTTTGAGGAAATCATGTCATATTATGTGAAATTAATCAATTATCACTGCATAAAGTAACCGGTAGTATGATTGTATCTAATCTTGCTTAGTGATCATTGGATTCTATTGATCAAGCTAAAATGCATCTATTAGTATCTAAGTGATTCAAACTTGCTATTTATTTGGAATTAGTGGATAAGGAACACTGAATCTAGATTTCTTGTCAAGAAGGCGTACTTACAATTTGATGGGGAATTTACACTCTCTATTAGATTTGAATCCACATCACTCAACTTCTCAAATTAATAAATATAATTTAATCAACACTGATAAATAAACAAATATGGTATCGGCTAATAATCAATAACCAATCAAACATTTTCCTCTCCAGAACATCATGAAGTATTCAATTTGATCCAATATTAGGTTTTGGACTGGATGCTTCTGGGGCAATTAAATTGATACTTGACACGAAACAACCATCCATTAAACTTTCAGGCATTTACAATAATTATCTAACTGATTTCAACTCGTTTGGTAAAAGATTTCTAAAATGTTTATCTCGATCTTTTTATGGAATCAATCAATTAAAAAGAAATAATCGATTCAAATGGTTACTAGTAATAGTAAAAACATCATACTCACTAAGCAATTTTGTACCTATATCTGAACTTAATAGCTTAGTGAATAACCTGTTTAAGTTTGAAGTGAATACATATATAGTACATTTGAATGTCAATTTGAACACTAATACTGAAATACAAATGTATTTGTATTTTAGATTCAACTGTTCTAGACACAATTCATTTATCCATAGAAGCAATCTTCTCAAGATGAATTTACATCAATAAAGATTAATGTAATGTTTATTAAAAGACTAGTATTTGAAGAGAAGAATATTCTTTTCGATAAATTCTCTTCAGGTTCTACAATTCATATATCCAAATTAATAATCCGAAAAAATGGCCAGGTTAAGGGCAAAGTACATCGTTTAGAGCATTTGAATTTAGGATTGTGATAAACAAAATACAATAAAATTGTTAATGTTGATATGACTTATATAGAATGTTAACTTGAATCAGCTTATATGTTAAGTGAAATTGTTAAGATCCATGATCAAAATAAATATGGATCAAATAGGGTGAGAGAGAAATAATAGTGCAATTACAATTCGATCAAATAAGTAAGATGTAATACGGAGGGGTGAATGCAAAATGAATGAATCATGTATAGTGGAGATTAATGATGTTTAACCAATAGTATGAATAATAATAATAATAATGATACAAAGATTTATGAATAAAGAAAACAGGGACAATTACAATTGACTACGAAAGGTCATAGTCAAATTAGTTCATTCAATAGTTAAGATTAAGATTGATTAATTGGCCTTGATTTCGGCCAGGGGAGGAGGAGTGGTTGAATATATTTCTTCTGTACGCAAAGCTCCGGTTTCTTCATCCGGATGGCTATTGCTTCAGCCGTTTGAAGGACTTTCAGTCTGATCAGTTTTGGCAAGAAATTACTTACCTTATAAATAATTGAAAAAGATTGGTTTATACTGGCACTATGACCGGTTTGTACTAAATGGGCCAATATTGAGCTGTTCACCTTCTTCATCAAACCTTTATTTAGCCACGCTGGAAGGTGTTCACGAGCACGAAAATGTAAATTCCTAGAACTTCGACCAATATAACTCGCTCCACAGGAGCAGTTGAACTGATAAATACAAAATGAGGTGGTCATTCTAGGTAATTCATCTTTTAGCTTCGGTGTAATGTTTATTTCTGAATATCAACATTGTTCACAATTCAATAATGATATCAATGTATTGAAAGATTGAAAAATTGATTGTTTACTAAAAAATAATGTAATTTTTTCTTTATAATTTTAATTCCGTTTTAGATCCTTTACTGAAATCTGTTGTACAAACAGATTATGGTTATTTATCAAATGTACCATTACCATTCATTATATTATTTCCATATCAAGCAAGGAAATCACGTAATAATCATGATACATCTACATTGGGAAGACAAGTAAGCTCGAGAGAGAGAGGGTTTCCCCTCTAATTTATTATTATTATTATTATTATTATTATTATTATTATTATTATTATTATTATTATTATTATTATTATTTACTTAATTACTTACTCACACCTGTTACTCCTCGTGAAGGAGCATGGGCCGCTCCAGCCTTCTCCATCCAACCTTGTCCTGGGCTATCCTTTCCAGTCGTTATTCATCCTTTTCATATCTAATTCTCTTTCCCGACGTAGTATGTTCTTTGGCCTTCTTCTTTTCCGCTTCCCTTAAGGATTCCAAGTTAGGGCTTACCTCGTGATGCAGCTTGATGAGTTTCGTAATGTATATCCCATCCATTTTCATCGTATTTTCCTAATTTCGTTTTCAGCTGGAAACTGGTTTGTTCTCTTCCACAGAAGGCTGTTGCTGATGGTATCCGGCCAACGCATGTTGAGTATCTTGCATAGACAACCATTAATTAATACTTGTATCTTCCTGATGATGGTTGTTGTAGTTATTCAGTTTTCAGCTCCCTACTGTAGAACTGCCTTGACGTTCGTATTGGAGATTGTAACTTTGATATCGGTTGACAGACAGTTGTTTTGAGTTCCATATGTTCTTCAATTTTAGGAGTGCGGCCCTTGCTTTGTTAATCCTTGCCTTTACATCTGCATCTGAACCTCCTTGTTCATCGATGATGCTTCCCAGGTATGTGAAGGATTCTACATCTTCCAGAGATTCGCCATCAAGTGTGATTGGATTGCTGTTCTCCGTGTTGTATTTGAGGATTTTGCTTTTTCCTTTGTGCATGTTTGAGGCATACTGATGCCTAGGCTGCTGCTACACTGGCTGTCCTTATCTGCATTTGTTCATGTGTATGCGATAGGAGCGCTAGGTCATCTGCGAAGTCCAAATCGTCTAATTGATTCTGAGCTGTCCATTGTATTCCGTATTTTCCCTCAGATATCGAAGTTCTCATAATCCAGTTGGCCATCAGAAGAAAGAGGAAGGGAAAAAGTAGACAGATTTGTCTGACTCCGGTCCTTACTGGGAATGCATCTACATTATTAGTATTATTATACATTATTCGATATAGTGAGATTGATATCATATGAAACCTCTCTATTGGTATATATGTATATAAGTATATGTCTTTATGAATATACAGTTAAAATGACATGAAAAATATAAAGGATTATGAATATGAAATAGTTGTAGAAATAGTCCATTGTTTTTGTTAATACTACTACTACTAATAATAATAATGATATGAATGTTATTTAGAAATATTTTTAGACAGACTAATATATCATTTATCTTCTTCTTTTCTCAATTACACAAAATCAAGGGATATTACTGCTATATGCACATACACACACACAATCACACACACATTTAGTTCATTTCACTGTTTTTGTTAACCTTTCATTTTTACATTAAACATGAATGTTAATTCCATTCCCAATTGTTTGTATTAATTATTTGTTGATATTTTGTTAATTAGTATGGTGCGGGATCGTGGATGCGCACTGCTGAGGAGTCCCATACTAGGACGAAACGGCCGTCCAGTGCTTCCAGGTTTTCAATGGTGGTCTAGCTTCAACTGACTCATGATTTAAATCTGTGAAAATATCCATTATGTCACATATTTTTATAAAATAGTTAGAATGTAACTAATCGTGAAATTCATGAAATTCATGTTACGTCTTATTTCACACTTGTCGCCTAGATGTGTACACCTGCATCAATGTTGTTGATGTTCACACTGCTGGTACCTTACATTTCAGATGCCGAATGTATTATCCACTGAACTACTAAGTTTAGATAGTCATGAAATTTCGATCAATCTTATGTTCCTCTCCTAAACAAATTCCATCTATTCTGTAGTACACATGAATGCTTTTTCAGGCATGGACAATGTGATATTTTGAAATGAAGAAAGTATAAAATAATTAAAAAATTTAGAATATTGAAGAAAACAAATAGTGAAACTGGTGGACGATTGTAAAGAATTTTGAACTCTGTCACTAGGTTTTTAACCGTTGGTTACAGTAATCAGGTGAACCTGAACCAAGTAATCTGTACCCAACCATACGTCTCAGTTCAATTATCAGCGTTTTCATGGAGTGATACCACATTTTAGTTTACCCACTTCTACATTTTTTCCAATCTGCTCTTACACTAGCCATCTCTATCTTTTCATTTTCCTCATTGGGTCACATTTGGTTCCACTGTTTATCTAACAAATAAACTTTATACTTCTTTCTTCTCAATCTTTGTTGGTTTTTTGTATCTAACAGGTGTCAAACGAATAATGATGATTAATTATTGTTCTGTAGTAAATTTATCGTTTATAAAAGGTGTCCACCCTGTTAACATTTTTACAGTTATGTTCATAAGTGATTCTTTTGTTAAAGGATTCAATTTTCCACCACTTTGTCTTGGACTCGAACCCTATTTCCTCTTCTTCAGTTTACACATTGGTTAATACCACTAACGTTCACAATTGTGGTGTAACTCGACGCCAAGTATTCTAGTCTATACTTAGTGGTCAAATGATAATATGATCACTTATGATAAAGATAATATATCCCTTGTTGCATACACCTGTTTTTATCGGCTTAGATATAATCATATTTTATTTTTCATACTCTTTTTGTCACACATACTTACATGCTGTGGAAATATCTTCAAATGTTGCCCTTATGTTCAGAAATCGAACGCACCTGTAAATCAACCAGTTCACATACCGTCATGTAATATATACATATAAACTTTTCGAAACTGTTTAAGTCAAAATTTCAACATATATGATATTCACTGTTAGAGATAATTAAGGTGAATGTCCTGTTGTGCATCTTTTTGTTTGTTTTTTTTTCTTCGATTTCTTTCATTTAATTCTTTCTTTGATTCTTTCTCTATTTTTCTTTTTTCCTTTGTTTTCTCTTGTTATTTCACTACTCAGTCCTTTCCTATCTCTCTCTCTATATATATACACGTTTAATGTGTATTATCGAAGTGATGACTGTAGAAAATGTTTCTCTGTATACATATAAATTGATAAATGTTGCCCATGGTAATGTTGTCTATCTCTACTTGTGTGTGTGTGTGTCTGTCTGTCTGTTTGTTTGTAACTTGTTATTTGCAAGATGTAGTTGAGACACATTAATCCTGAAATTCCTTTTTCTTCTTCTTCTTTAAAGCAAAATTTTTAAATTTTCTTGAAAAGAAAAAAAAGAGTGTAAATGTATATAAATAAATCAAATCAAACATATTTTGATGCAGTTTCATTGAAATGCAATTTTTACAGTAGTTTTAAGAGCAAAAGAGAGAGAGAGAGAGGGGGGAGGGAAGAAGAAAGACACGATGATACGTAATTGAAATGATGAAGTTCAATTTCCACTTGCTTTTTCTTTGATAATAAGGCTGTATGTTGTTTTTTGTTGTTGTTTCTTTCTCTTTCATCTATGGGTCGGTTGTTGTTAAGCCTTACTTTGATATTCATATTCTAATTTTCTTTTTATGGAAAAATAAAACAGAAGAAAAGACAAAAAAACTATACTTCTTCAACTTAATTAAATGTAATGATTTAAGATTGAGTTTTTGGTTGGGATTAACTCAAGATTTGATTGAGAATATCTATTTTTGATGACTGATCAGTATGGTTTGTCTTGTAAATTGTAGACTGTTTGCTGTAATTATTAACTTTATTTTGTTATGCTGGTGTGATATGATAGATGTCATGTAGTGAACAAGAACACCAGTGGGGACAATCGAATTATATTTAACAGAAAATTGCCGAGTTACTAGGTAAAATAGAAAAACCATACTGTAATACCTGATTTGTAAAATGTTCAATAACTGTCTCGAACTTCGTTGTTCTTGCATTTCTATACTTATTGCTTTCTATGTCCTCTCTTTTCTTTTTTTGATCTTCCCCATCTTCTGCTGCCAGACATTACATTCCTGACTCGTGTCATATACTATTTATATCAATATAAGTAGCACGTACCATAGTCATACATTGATTATGACTAACTACAAACAGGCGAAATTGATGCTTGTATACATGGTAACTATCTATTTTCTATCAAATTTTTGTATTTGTTTTATTCTGGAATCTTATCACAATCGATTTAAATCATGAACTGATCTAAATTAGACCACATTTGAAAACCTGAAAGCATTTGATGGTCGTTTCATCCTAGTATGGGATTACTCAGAAGTGTGAATCGACGATCGCGCACGCGGAATTCAAACTCAGGAATTTCGTTCTTTTACGCTTGAGGTGACAATATTGATATTCACTCACTAATAGTTTAGGAAAGAGTATTGTATTTTCATCTTTTTTATTCTATTAACTTATACATTTAATTTTTATGATGATAAACTAATAAAACGTTTAAAAATGATTTTTAACACGATGTGTTTGTAGATAGGTATAGCCTACTTAATTTTAATGTCACTTCGAGTTTTATTCTATTCCGTAGATCCATTCTTTTTTCTCGAATCACTTTATCTGTATTTAATGTTCTCTATCACCACTAATACTGTTACTTCTTCAACCTCTCTGAAGTACACCTTGATATTTTCGTCTCACTTTACCGATATGGTGTGTCGACTTGAACCGATCTATATTTTCGTTCATTCTTATGTTGTTTGTGATTGACTGACTGATTTTGTTACATCTACTACCCAATTATTAAAGTCGTGTGTGGCACATTGAACAATGGTATCATTCTAACTTACAATGCATCGACATTCACATGTTTCTATGTATTTTTTTTCTTTGTACTTTGATATGATATTGTTTAATTAACTATGACTCGATGTGTCCAACTGAACTTGTCTTATTCTTTCTATGAATTGACGTGGATTAGTTTTTTCTTTCTCTCTACTCATATATATATGTCTTCTTTTGTTTATCTGTTGCAGGGTGGCTATTTTCAAAATACACGATTTTGGCTTACCATGTATAACCAACAAAAAATTGTGTTGAAATTACAAAAATCTCGGTATGTGTGCGTTTCATTTTTGTTTATAATTGTTCATTCATTTAGTGAATATTGGTAAACTGAACTGACTGTATAATATTTTACTGAATTACTTAATGTAGGCGAATTAAAAAAATATTTAAAGATCATGAATTCATTAAAATTAGACGTTAACACCGTTGGATTCCGGCCTAATGGTCTAGATTTTAAGCATTCTTGCGTGAAACAGATCTTGTGTTCGAATCCCGCGTGCGGGATTGTAGATGCTTACTGCCGAGGTGTTCTACACCGGGATGAAACGGCCGTCCAGTACTTACAGCTTTTCAGTGGTGGTTTTACTTAAATCGACTCGTTGATTCCACTGTCAACAATACTAAAATCTCCGCAACTCCCCTTAATGAAAAAATTAAAAGAAGTAAACAAAATATATACTAATGGTAATTATTAAAGAATCATAGTAGTAAATGAAAGTAAAAAAACTTGTGAGTAAATGTTAGTATCACGGCAATCCAATCAAGATGGTTATATCACAATAACGATTAATCAATTACTGTTTTATAGGGCTTGATAATGAACTGCCTGGCTGTTTTTTATTTCCTCTGAAATTCTCTTACATTCGAGTCGCGTATGATAAAAAAGGGCGTGAATTAAGAACAGAAGCTTCGCTTTAATTTCTGTTTATGTATAAAGAACAATAGTAGCTTATTGCTAACCTTTAACCTTTGGAAATGTTTGAAGGCATGTGAAATTCAGTAAAACAGTAACTAATAACCCAACCACTGAGACACATCCATTAATTTTTTTTAAACGTTGTTTTAATGAATGCTGACGTAATGAAACATTTTTAGCCTTCTTCTGGCTTCTGAAGAAAGTATGGAGGAATGCTAAAGGGCTCCTAACATTGTCCTTAACTCAAAGGAAAGATTTTGGTTGAGCCACCCTCTCTGAACCTTCACAATCAAACTATCCGGATTAAAGGATGTTAATTTACCAAAAAATAACCTTTAACATCATGAATGGGAAAATACAAACCGTCACAAATAAAATCGATAGCGGTTACATGTTGATTAAAGTATTTAGTTTACAATTAATACTAGATTTTAGATTCGAATGTTACTTCGTTTATTGGATTTCAGTAATATAACTCAAAATCGAGTACATAAAACTTTTGTTTTGTTTTGTTTTATTTCACTTGAAGATTGAAAAAATATTTAAAAAGTTATCCCTAGCTACTTTGTCACTGACTTGAATGTGGCCCGTGTTTATTGTGAAAACGTAACTCTTAAATGTCAAACAAAGTTTTCTTGCGGAAAACACGTTTTGTTCATTTAAACATAAACATTGTTACAAAGGGGCGCCAAAATATAGATACACCACACAATAAAAATGAGATTGTGAACAGATAGAGAAAGGAAGAATAAGTCTAATGAAAAAAAAGAAATATGAATAGAAATTAGTGTATGAGTATAAAACATAATGATAGTTGGATGAAAATACAAACAGGATGGATTCTTTCAGTTGTAGATGTTCCGCTCACTTATATGAACAAAGTTAAAGCAGGACTATCACTGGCTTCTATTCTGAGCCATACCACTTAGTGTTGAATGGACGTACAATCACTCAATGCTTACTGGGTTATAAGTGTGAGGAATCAGGATTAGGATTTACAGCTGTACGTTAGGGTTAGAAATTAGATTCAATGTTTTCATCACGAACTGACATGAGCTATAATGGCAAAATGTTATTTAACCAAATGAATGGATGAATTTCGCGCCAAAATCCATGACTCGTTTTCTCGAATCTGATTGGTTCGTCCATAAATTTCAGTCTTACTCGTACTGTTTTTTTGACCGATTTTAATAGTGATGGAACGTATTCTTCACATTGCTCAATTCTTTCATACAATATTTGATTGAATCATTTCATAATAATCTTTGTCTTGCTTATCTTTTAGAATATTTAGTGACGCCGGCAACTATTCCACTTTGTATTATCAAAAGAAAAACGATGGACATATGTATGAATTTGAATCAGATGTATGTTGTTCGGTCTTTGTTTTCTTTTTTTTTACACAATAAATCATGAAACATATTTACCCCATAAAATACCTTGTTGTTTGTCAGTCATCGCCTATCCTGTTTGCTGAGCTACGTTGACTTGACATATGAGACACTATGTTCACGCTTGAAGGTCTATGAGAACACCACTATTCTAGTTTCCTTTTCAGGTCCACGATGGAGAACAATTACCTTTTCATGATGTGGGAAACTTGAAAGTATCAAACACTCTTATACCTCTAACAATGAAAGAAAAATATAAAGGAAAATATGCTGAGAACTACAGTGGTTCCCCATTATTTAACATACGAGTAATTTGTGATTCCTTTTTCAACCGACGCATAAGTTCCTACATTTAACACTATCTTGAAAACATTCAGTTTAAACAAGCCAAAGACAGAAGGGCTTATTCGCAGTAGTTTACACCTATTTGGGAAATAAAATATTAAAACAATTTTCTAATAAATGAAATGTACTGGTTTGATATTATTGGCTAACATGCCACTGTATTTCAGAATCTGTCATATACATTACTTCATACAACTAAACATGGCAAAACTATAATTTATAGGACGAACCACTTAGATCTTGGATTTCGGTGCGAAATTCATTCATCCATATGACTAAATAGCATTATAACTTATATTATTCCGTTGTAAAATTGCTAACGTGCAACTGTAAATCCTAATTCCTTACACTAATTTATAATTCTCTTTTAACCCTAGTAAGTAGGTGGAAATTTGCAAAATCACTTCAAAATCATTCGAATGTCGTCCATAAATTATGGTTTCACTGTAAACTTAAGTGAATTTGTACTATGTCAATGAATAGAAACTAGAATTTGTGATCCATCATAACTTAGTGTATGCTACTTCAGAGAATAGATAAATAACTCTAAAACAATTAAATATAACTTTAATACCAGATGGCTTTTGTGGATATTATAGTACTTTCAATGATTAAGATCATGAGTCAGTTAAAGCTAGACCACCATGGAAAACCTGGAAGCACTGGATGGCTGTATTGTCCTATTGTGGGATTCCTCAGCAGTGAAATTACTACAATCTCCACAAAACCGTCTTGTGACACTAATCAACATATGTTCAGTAGTGACTGGCTTCAAGATGTATATCCTGGAGTTCTAGTGAGAAGCAGTGACCAGTGGATTTCAACCGGATCTGTTATGAGATAGTAACTCACTGAAGACAATGGTGGATGTGTCGCTCAATTTCGTGGATTAGTTGAAGTTAGACATTAACACCGTTGGACGCCGGTTCAGTGGTCTAGTGGTTAAGTGCTCGCGCGCGAAATCAGTAGGTTCTGGGTTCGATGTCCGAATCTCGCAGGGGGCGAGGTCGTGGATGCGTACTTCTGAGGAGTACCACGATAGGACGAAACGGTCATCCAGTGCCTCCAGGTTTTCCATGGTGGACTAGCTTCAATTGACTCATGATCTTAATCATTGAAATATAACTGTGTGAATGATACTTTTTACAAATAAATCAATTATATTGGGAATAATTCCAATGAGTGAAGTTTGAATGATTTCAATGTTTCGGCCCAGTTATCTTGTTTGAACTTCTTCAGTGTAATAAGTAAGATTATCAAAGAAAACTCGATATTTTACAAATAAATCTACACTATAAATGAAGATGATATAATAATCTTTGAACCTAGATCTGCTTTTTTAAATGCTATATATTCTTTGATAAATTTAATAATTATTCTTGTAATTTGGAGTAGTCTACAAAAGATAACTGAATCTCGAAACATTAGAATTATTGAACTTTCATTCATTGAGATTATGACAGTCTGTTTGAATATCGGGATGACCTGCTCCTTTCAATCTAGATTTTTCAACAAGTTACCTGTTGTGGAAGTTTACAACTTTTCACTGTACAAATTACAAAAATGTACAATCATACACTTCATGGTTGATGACAATATGTATTAAAATGAATGAACATTATTCAGATGTTGGTTCCTAAACTAATAACATCTAACTGATGATCACTAATTGACAACATTGATTATCTTCAATTCCCACTAAGTCTAAACATATATCGTAATTATGGTGTAATAACAATTCAACAATCCTGGTTAAATGATTTACAAGACGATTGATCAGTATCACCACAACAATCCAATCTTTATTGTTATGATGGATTAAGTAATAAGAAGTGGAAACGTGTTGAAATACTTTGTGTTGAGAATTCTATATTGTACCAAAAAATATGAGATTACGTGAAGCCATTTATTATTATTTTTTACGTCATTCTTAAAATAAAACTTCGATATATTCAGGGCTTAATTCCTTTAATACTATTTATTCAAATCATGATGATTATGCTTACAAATTTGCATTTATCGTCTATTTATTTATTTATATAGAAATTAAAAAACTGCTATTACACTGGTACAGTAGTGAATCAAACAGAGGATTATTTGAATTTAGATACTACTAAATCTACTAATTATGTTGCTGTAAATACATGTTTTGGTTTGAAGTAAGTCGATTTAATCTTTCTGTCTCTTTTCTTCTTCACATTTTTTTACATGGTACTATTGTGATGTGAGTTACTTATATCCACATAAGTAGTATATAACGTTGGTCAGGCATAGAACGTATTTCAGTAAACGATCAATAAGGAAAGAACAGGAACGTAACACAATTTGTATGAAAATGAATGAATAATGAAATCTGAGACAATGGACTGATATTTGCAAAAGAAACAGTGAAGTTTGAGACGATGGATTGATATTTTGAAAATTAACGATTTACTAAATGGTTCTCAGATTTTAGTGAGATCCTCTGTAATTGCGTGTCAAATACATTTGATTGCCCCCACTCGTGTTCTTGTTCACTACACTATTAACAAAGCAACAATAAAGAACAGTAGTAATGTGTTGATTATGATAAGTTTGGAAATCTATTGGAAGTGTTTAATGTAACTTATCGCTTAAATAAATATTTAACCAGAATCAGGATTTGTGGCGATCGTAGTTATTTTTAACAATTGGATTCATGAATTGATCAATATAAGATCAACATTGAAAACTTGAATGCAATAGATAGCCACTTCGTTTTAGTATGGGAGTCCTCAGCTGTCTTTGTCCACAATTCCGACTCGAACCCAGTACTGTTTATTTCAAACGTCATCGCGTTATCTACTTAGCTGCTGAATCCAGATTGCCACTAGCTTGTGCAATTAAAAACTTGTTTAACTTTCGTTTGGTATTAATTAACATTTGTCCACAATAAGACGTATGCCTATAATCTTAAGGAAACTGATAATCCCTGGTGAATTCGTACTCGATGATAAGTCTCGCTAATTAAATGTTCATTTTGATTGCCTAGCCGCTTTTAACAACAACAGATTGAATGTACATGACAACTTAAACACGAGAAAGGCACAAATTTTGGTGATAAAGATTTTTTCGTCTCTCAAAATAAATCGAAATGATTTAAGAATATATCATATTTTATCTGATTTATTCATAGTTACATTTGTATAATTTGAACTGTTGTATTTACCAATAGCTTACTGTATCAACATAGATTTACCATGCATTATACAATTAAGCATCCATGATGCTTCTTAAAACGTGAAGACATGTTGCACACACTGTTGAAATCTTACAAAAAATCAATTTCATATATCGTTCGCATATCAACTCACCAACTTATTACTTGTTATATCACTCGGATAATCCAGTTTCAGCAGTATGAGACACAGTTACCATGATAAGTCGTCAAGCTTTTAATATGGATGTTTTGAGAATACATATGTAAATAGTCACAGCTAGATAATAACGAATACAAAATAGAAAATTTTTAAGTAATATTAAAAAAGGCAACTTCAAGCTATGAGTATCCTACCGTATACCTCTTTTTAATACTATTCATAATCGTTAGTTTAGTCGAAGGGATTCTGTGGAAATTGCTTCACTTTCTTGTTGTTAGGAAACCATTGAAAATCAAGAAACATTGAACAGCTGCTGTTTTATTCTTGTATTTAACTTGAGGGCAGCACTCATCTATTACCCCACCAGCATTAGATGATGATTGCGCATTATCTCCAATCAATTGAAATTTAAAAATAAAAATAATTAGATACCCAATTAGTTGCCTAAAGATTAAGCGTCTACAGCAAGACCTGCAAGTCCTCGATCCGATTCTTGCTTGAATCATGTGTATGAGTAATAGTCCGATATGAGTTAGAAGCTACTATCCATTGCTTATTGGTTTTTAATTGTTGCTTACTAATATAATTAGTCTATGATGCAAACCATATATATATATATATATATATATATATATATATATATATATATATATATATATATATATATATATATACCATTCTTTTTTCACCGATATCAATAAGCACACTTTTCTACTAACCAATTCATCTAATTAATAATTAACAACTATCTATCTTTAAACAAAGAGTTGAAAAATCTTAATCAACCAATATATTTATTCATCTCTTGTTTTTTTTCCCTCAATTATATTCAGTGGTATTATTCATTATGCCAATCAAACATATGGTATACGTCCACTGCATTGTAAACAATGTGATTCTACAGCCATTCCACACCTACTATTTCCACATCGATCAAAGTTGATTAATCGAGGTTTGTGTTAGTCCTTGTTCTTTTATATTGTAATTCATGTCATTTTGTTCTCTTCTTTTTTTCTCAATACAAATATCTAATTTAACTCAGTTTTACTTAGAATAAATCGCTTTATGTGCTCGACTTTGAGTTACTCCATTTATAAGGATTAGGTAACTGATTCAACTTTTTGGCTACTTAAACTAAAATTGACGAAAAAGATATGGTGTAAATCAGTAATTCATTAATTTGCCGGCCTACTTGAATATCTGGGCTATCTGTTCCTGACATCTAGATATTTCAACGAGTTATCCATTTTTGTTTGTTTATTTTAAGACATCATTATGTCTATTAATCGCATAACCTATTCAGGCGCGTTTATGAAAAATGTACGACCTTTCACTGTACATGTTATAAAAATGTCGAATCAGATACATGGTAGTGAATATGCAATATGCATTGAAAAGAGTGAACATTATTCAGATGTTGATTCCTAAACTACTAACATCTAACTGGCGATCAATCAGTATTTATCGTCAGGATCGTTCAAGCAATAAGAAAAGGAAGCTTGTTGAAATACTTTGTGCTGAGAATTGTAGATTGCACCCAAAATATAATATTGAATAAGACTAATAATAATAAATGGCTTCACGCAATCTCATATTTTTTGGTACAATATCGAATTCTCAACACAAAGTATTTCAACACGTTTCCACTTCTTATTACTTAATCCATCATAACAATAAATATTGGATTCTTGTAGTGATACTGATCAATCGTCTTGTAAATCATTTAACCAGGATTGTTGAATTGTTATTACACCATAATTACGATATATGTTTAGACTTAGTGGGAATTGAAGATAATCAATCTTTTTAATTAGTGATCATCAGTTAGATGTTATTAGTTTAGGAACCAACATCTAGATAATGTTCATTCATTTTAATACATATTGCCATCAACCATGAAGTGTATGATTGTACATTTTTGTAAGTTGTACAGTGAAAAGTTGTTAACTGAACATAATTTCTTCACATTATATATATTGATTTGATGTAACAACTGGAACCAATATAAACTTATATTTGACAGATTTCACATTTGTTATAACTGACACTGATTAACTATTTCATAAATTGACAACAGTGTGTGTTTATCAACCTACATCAATAACTTTCGTCCTTACATCGATTAATATTGAAACAATGATCTATTCATCCAAATAGATCAAAACATCTGATTACTATTATGTAATATTACAATTAAATCTATCTAATCAGATCATTATCATGATCATAAACATGACATTTTTAATTAATCTACTCAGTTAATTTCTTATGTAATTTAGTGCATATGTTTTACAGTTTTTTTCCATAATACGAAGGTATAACTTCAGATCAAACTATACATTGATGTTTTTCACACTTTTAACAAAACCATTTAATAGTTATAATTCTGTGTGGAAATATAACTAGTGAATAAACTTGATATTGACGTAACAAAAAGATTAGATAATATTGATGGAGCTAATCTGTGTCGAGTAGAGACAGGTATCTATCTCAGTACAATGGAGGATGGTCGCGCAATTTCGTGGATTGGTTAAGGTTAGACATTAACACCGTTGTATGTCGGCTCATTGGTCTAGAGTTAAAGCGTTGACGCACGAAATCAAAGGCCCTGGGTTCGAATCACGTGGGCGGAATCATGGATGTGCACTGCTGAGGAGTCTCACGATACGATGAAACTGCCATCCAGTGCTTTCAGGATTTCAATGGTGGTCTAACATCAATCGGTTCATGATCTCAACCAAATACTGGTATTATATGATCTTTTTGCCATTATGTCATTATGTTTATTCATCGTTGAAATTCTCATCATATAATTAAAAGAACTCTCACGAAATTTCATATTTTTACCATCTTAATTGGAATTAAGAAATATTCCAAAAATCGAACACATTATGTTAACTAGACTTAAATTTTGGTGATATTGGATGATAAATAGATTCTAGTTAGACATCCACTGTAAACCAGCAAGCATTTGACAGTTATTTCTTATCACTGTGCGACTCAACAATACACGTATTCGACTCCACCTGAGGAGATTGGTTATAGTCTTTTCAGACTTTAGGACGAACGCTCAACTTTTGGGCCTTTAAGCTGATATCCAATTATTTACATTTCAAAATTTAAAATGTTTATTTAAAAATCAGCGATTACTTTAATAATAAAAGATAATTATTTTTAAAAGAAAGACAATGATCATATATCATTGAATTATCCATTGAAAAGCTATATATATATCAGATAAGATTACAGACCGTTCCTAGACATTTAAGTGAGAAAAATGCACCCCTGAACGACTCCGTCGTTTGTTATAAGAACTTAGACCCTGAATCCAATCCCTGTAGATGAGCACTATTGATGAGTCCCATACTAAGACGAAACAGCCGTTCAATGCTTCATGGTTTATTAATGATAGTCAAATTAAAATTAGTCTATATTGTAAGCTATGTAAATATAGAAATGATTGTATCAATAAATAAAGTCCTACTTATATTTTCATTATTTTACAATATACACAAAATTGACAGGTCATTCACTAGTCAATAAATGAATGAATGAATGACTTGTTTTTATTAATAAATGTCACCGAAATTTAGTTTATTTACAACAATCTATCTCCATCTATCTTTTCTGATCAATTTTTCATAGTGATCGCTTTGACATGCATAACTTATATTGGTTGTGATACTAATCAAACTGACATTGATAATAAATTATTATTCATTACTTCATTTATTGTACTACGGTAAAACTAAGTATTGCCCTCATTTACTAGTTTTAATTAACTGATTAACACATTTGTTAATTGTTTTCATTGAATAACAATAATGTCACTAAACACTGAATATGTAACAACAACTCACTGGTCATATACACATACTTGTGGTCATACGGTAATTAAACTAGTTACTACGTGGGGGGGGGGAAATGTGGAGGCTGTTATAGTTTATAATTTTATATCATAGACTGATAAGTAATTAGACAACTATTGAACTTCATAAAGCACTGGATTACTTTGATGTCCTAGTATAATATATCTTGACAATGGGCACTGATAACTTCTGGATTCAAACTCAGGATCATCAGGTTTTGCATTGAACTCTTACTCTCTCAATGGATTATTTAGTGAATCACTAATAAAGTAATTTCAATGTTGATAAAAAGAAGAATCTTTCCGGAAGATTTCAATTCCTTTCCAACATTTATCAATGTTACTTCTATCTTTCATTTTATGCAAAAAAAGATGAAGTGTAAGGACATTTACCAGTATTTTATCACTTAATAAGTGTTCAGCATTCAATATTTATGGAGGTTTTCCCGTTTATTAAGTGAATTAATCCTCCATCTAAAAGTGTAATGTTCACTGGAGATTTCGCTTTCTTTTTAAATTATCCAAGATCATCGCTGTGAACATATTAGTGTAACACACCCCAACATGTTGGATGATAAACATAAATATTTTGAAAGTTGAAGCTTGAATTTAGATCTTTAATGGAAATTAAACTTTTGAGCCCAGCACTTATCCACTAAATAAACGGGTAACTCCTTTAAAATGCTAGATACTGAGTATTTGGACAGCGTGGCACAGGAATTTGAAAGCAGCTAATATCAATTCTGTCTGGCTCGTTTTTGCCTATTATACGTGTATACCATTGAGATGTAAAGTGTTGGTTAAAGATAATAGACAGGGGATCCCGAAAATTTTACCTATAGGAACTGATGTTTCCTATCAGATTCGATTCCATATCATCCAGCTTTACAGTCAGAAATGTTACTACTAAACTATTTCAACGGCAACTGACCTCCGATAATAGTAAGATGTACTTGTAGTTGATTAATCATTGAGTAGTGACCAATGTTATGTTTGTCGAATCCAATCGACCAAGTTGCAATATGACCCCACTATTAATCTAAGTGATTCGACATTACATGCACTATATCGAGTTATGTTAGATGGTGAATAGAGAGCAGCTTAGTGGACATACAATCTTGGACTTTGATATGTGGCGTTTTTGTCAAAGATAATACACTTTATATCAGAAGGGTTTTTGTGGATATTATAAGAATTGCAATGGTTGAGATCATGAGTCAATTGAAGCTAGACCATCATGGAAAACCTGGAAGCACTGGATGGCCGTTTCATCCTATTGTGGGGCTCCTCAGCAGTGCGCATTCACGATCCCGCTTCACGAGACTCGAACCTAGGACCTATCAGTCTTGCGCGCGAGCGCCAACTATTAGACCACTGAGCCAGATGGCATCCAGCGGTGTTAAGAATAATTATAAACCTTTCTGTAAGAAAAGAAATTAGAATATAATAGTCTTTTTGTCCGTAAATAATCACATTTTTTTGTTTTTATTAAGAGGATTGTATTGTCTTGTAATTCTTTTCTATTTAATTACAAAATTGAACATGTTAGAGTGCGTGTGTGTGTGTGCGTGCACATGAATTGGTTTAGAAGAAATGATTCAGTTTTTTTTAATTGTACCTGCTTGACATACATAGAGAGTAATAATAGTAACCATAATAATAACAGTTTAATTGCATCTGAATATGATCAAGTATTGTGTGTTTTGTTCGTCTCTATGTTTATGCATATATAGATATGTGTGTGTGTTCATCTTTGTGTATGTTTGGTAGTTTTCATCTCCTTTTTTTGTGCTTCTTCCTTCATAGATTGATTACACTATCATTTCGTTCTTTGCCCATCCTTGCCTACCCACCGTCTCTCTCTCTCTCTTACATAATATTTTTGACCCTGTTTTATTTAACGTATAATTTTTTCGCTTTTTTTCCCGTTTTCTATAGTCAGCAAATTAACATTCATTACCGTTTATTAATTTCTATTTAATTTTGCTTACTGTTAACTTATTTTTTAAATTTCTTTCTTTAAAATACAATTACTATACCTTTTTGTTCTGAATTCATTTGGTTTTTGTATGTATCTGAGTGTGTGTATTTATGAAGAGTGTTGTATTATATACAACTGGGGAATTGTTGAAAATAAAATAGTACTGGACAGTTGGTTTATCCCCGTTCGAGATTTGTATGTGCCATTGTTTACCTACCGATCACACATGAAATAGAACTCAATTTCACCCTATTGTAGATTAACCATGATTCTACCTAATCAGTGTGTTCGGTAAGTGTTTGTCCAAGTCATGTTTATGAATATAAACTATCTGGTTGAAGTTCGCACGATAACTACTATCAGTAGTTAGAGATATTGGATGGCATTGGTCACAATCGACTATAGCAGTTCAAATGTATTGACTCCCTGACTTACTCTGTGTTGTAACGTGTGAGACTGTAGGTTATGGAGCAGCGTACTTGTCGATCGCTTCTGTGACACGTAAACACGTACGAACGACCTAGAGTCCCGATTGGCCCTGCTTCGCTGTCTATCCCAGCCAGTTGAGTCCAGAACGCAAGTTACAGCCTCTGAGATATGAATCATTATATTTCAAACACACTCTGTTTATATACTAACCAAGCAGACCACATCGTACCATAAAATAGAAAACAACATTTATACAATATTAAACAAGTGAAGCAAATATCGACCAATAGGGAATGTGCATTTAGCGTCCAAGGACAACATTGGACTTAACATGATAACTATTGGTATATTTTTCTGCACTCCCTAACACTCTGCATATTCAGTTCCGGTTGTCTTTTTTTTCTCAAACCATATTTTCAATTGATATATATTGGATGTTTGGATCTTACCCAGTATGTTTACTTAAGAATGCAGTTGACCAACCTTTTGACATATATATGCATCCAATGCAAATTGCCTCGATATTTCTATCAATTTACAATGATTCTAGGTGGAGATGAATGGTGGCTAGTAGTGGAGTTCACGATGCATCTTTCGTCCTAGTTTGAAGTCGTCCGATGGATGTACCTGCATTCCAGAGTTGATATTTGTACCGGGACGAAACCCACATCCTAGATTCTACTTCTAGACATCATCCATATTTTCAATGTTTATCTCTGTCGTTGCCTGTAGAATTATTTTGAACTCTTTATTATTCATCTTATTAATTTTAATTTGTTCTCACTGATTAAACGTTGTAACCGGGCTTCGTGTACATTCGTGTCCTGGCTTTATGTTGATCATATTTGGCTATAACAATATACTGATCAGTGTTTTAGAATTTTTGATTGACTCTTCAATGAACACTATTCCAAATTAATCTTCATTAAGAGCCTATAATAAAATAATATGTATTTCATTGCTTTAAAACTATTTATTTATTTATGTAAACACATGAACATTGGTGCAATAAGGCGCCACACTCCACCATTCAATTTGTGTGAGGGCTGTAATACTGCCCAAATACCTGAACCGAAGGTGGTGTTCTTATGGATTCACTACATGAGCCTTTTGCTCACAGATCTAATCCACAATGTAGTGGAGCAACGTTAAGAAATGCAGTCTCATTTTTTATACGCCATTTGTTCCTTCAGGATCCTGGAGCTCATATGCACTATTATTTTGAAATTAGGGTTTTCCAAGTGCCTTAGGTGGACCCTTTGTGTCCACCAACCAGGTTTGCGTGCCAAACATTCGCTTTTCGTCCTCTGAATTTCGTAAATAACACACCCGCGGCTTGAAGGCAGTGAGTAGGACTTCCTTGATAGTGGCTGTATACTCGTGGTCTCATATGCAAGAATTTGGAGAGGGAGAGCTAAGTCTTTCCACCCTCAGTCGCACTAGGGCACTCGGCCGTTTAAAAGAATCAATATTCTATTCTTTACAATTTATTGTAATGAGAAAGTGATGTAACAAGTTGTATTGGCAGTAACTAGAAAGTTATTCTTAAAACATTGATTCATTAGACAAAAGGAAGAAAAAGAACACGTCTTTGCGAAATTGTTTTTCTTTTTTATGACCGATGAAAATAACACAATAGAATGTGTATGAACAAATTATTGTTACATTTTTAATTAGTTACAAAAATGTCTTTTCAAATCGGGAGATAATTTACTTAATTGGGTTAAACTATGTATTGTGATTTCCTTATAATTATGTTTGATGGTATTATAATACATAGTTGAACTAATGATTCTTTTAATAGTTTGCTTCAAAGATTGATCTTAGTTCCATAACCGTTGCAAATTAGGAAGTATTGAATAGTTGTTTGATCCTAATATAGAACTGTAATATATAAACCTCAACAAATCCCCTTAATCTTATCAGAATTATCTGCTGGCGAATGAATAATTTCTAAGAGGTAATTTGAAGAGTTCTAAGTGAAGGCTGTAACAACTGGAGTTCAATCATGTTGATTGTAAGACAGTTAACTATCATTAATATCGGAAGTTAGTTGCGCAATACTGCGAATTTATTGAAGTTGGATATGTAAACGATTGGATATCTACTCAGTAGTCTGAATATTACTCGCTTGCAGTAAGACCTGAAAATCTCCAATGGGGTCGTGGACAAGCACCCTTAAAGAGTCCCATACTAAAACGAAATGGTTATCAAGTGCTTCCCAATATTTTATGGTCATCTAATTATAAATAATTCATGATGTAAAGTATTCAAATGTATTTTTTACATTTTCTTAGGATTCTAATTCATCAAAATAACTTTCTGCCTTTCGTTAAAATATTGATTATGACTTCTTACATTACCATTACGTCTCTCCTCCAATGTGTTTATTTAATACTATCACTAATAGTAATAATTTTCATATAGACTACATGAAATGTGGCTACCGATGGAATACACGTTTCGTCCTATATGGGACTCGTCAGCTGGGTGCACCTGACACATTCCAGATTGATGTTTGCTCCGAACGCCATCACGGTCGTCTTTTTTTCAAACATATAAAATATCTTACCAATTATGTGAATTTTATGCGAACACTATTATGAAGCGAAGTCACATACGTTTTCAGTGCTGCTTGGAATTCTTAATGTTAACTGACTATATGCCAATAGGTAGATATTTAATTCTTTATGAAGAAATAGCTGAATTAAATCTCACCTCCTTTATAGCAGCTAAATAAGCGATTTACTAAAATACATATTGAAGAATAGTCTAAGCGAAATGTCTCACTTTCAGTATCTTTTCCGAATAATACTGATTTTTAATGGTACCTTCTTCATGAACAAATAGAGTCCTACATAAAGAAGAAATAGTTGTCCATTCCCCATTAGTTTTCAATAATATTCTATATAGTCCTAATTCATGACGAGTACTGTTTAAAAAAATGAAAAGAAATACATAACCTCCGTGATTCCACACTTTCTCAATTATCTGTTCACTACTAAGTAGTTTTAAAATAACCTTGTGCGAATTTTTGATTACTAAATCTCAACAATGTCAAAAGTGAGACTGTCATCACCCATCATCATCCTACCATATCACTAAGATCGGAAATTCCAATATAAACATTTAATTTCAACGCAGTGGTCTAAATGTAACGCATTGATCAAAATTTTCAAAAGTCCTGGATTCAGCCTTTATTTGGGTCACAGACAAACCTCACTAAACAGTTACCTAATACTTAAATGAAACTACTTTACAGTAGTCTCTTATTTTCTGTTACTATAGTTGGTTCTAATCCATAACTACATGTTACTACCTAAAAATAGATAACAAACAGAAAATATTGCATCAAAGTTAATGAACATTTTACCATTGATTGGTCGCTGAGTTAGGACTAATTTCATGTATGTCAATTCATACCTAGTGTCGACCGAGTAAGATTTCCTATTGTGAAACTGGGTAACAAGTAATCGAATCCATCAGAAAACATCATCCCTCTTAAGATCACAAATACACCTTGCTTACAAGTAGTATCAATGTTGAGAAGGATTTTTTGTTGTTATTGACAATCTCCAACTACCATTTTACATGAATATTTTCTTAACAAAATATTACATTGTTTAGTCATTGATATCATCAACATTCCATATACATATGCTCTGATTAATGAGTTTTTTTCCCAAACTATTCTTTTGTATTCATATTCCGAAGGTTTCAATTCATGGGAGCCTTTTTTTATTCAAATGTCATTTAAATATCTGATACACTTTGTTAACTAGTTTCTATGTGGATTTATATATGTAAATCTTTATTTGTGTTTTCCTTCACACACACACACACTCTCTGATATTATCATGTTGTGTATTATTTTACTAATAGATGTTCAATTACCAGTATTTTGGCGCCCTACAGATATTTTTAATATAATGAATAGAAAACCTTTAGCAAAAGTTGAAGGACCTCGAATTTACACTATAAATCTTGCGTTAACGCTTGATTATCATTTAGTAAGTTGATGTTAGACAATTTTTGGTTTTCTAGTTTCTTTTTTTTTCATTTAATAATTTAACTAAAATCAACTTTGAGGGGAATTACTACCGTTTTTGAAGTGGATAAAAACTGACAATTGTGTGTGTGTGTGTGTGTGTGAACGAGGGAATATTGTTGACTGGTAATGAAATAACTATATATGTATAACTAGAATTCAATAAATGGTATGTTCTTTTCATCTGAAATAACATAATATTCTGATATCAAAAGGTTGATTATATTATATATGAACATGGCTTTGCATTATTTACTAGAGCAACCATCGAGAAAACATACTATACTGTTAAATTGATTGTTATTACAAACAACTAAACCAATTATTCCACATAGGATTAAGCGTTGTATAAACAATTGCGTCACGTCCCATTTTATTCATCAATTCACTTGCGTGTGTGTGTGGGGGGTTGACACACAAATGCGTCAGATGTAGTAAGTGATCTTTGCAATCAAGGTTTATTCGATTTGTACCGAAATGGCTCAAGTCATTCAGTCAGCAACAACGTAGAACTTCTTATGTACGTACATCAGTTCGAGTTAGCTAGCAGCAAATATTCTGATAAACAAAGGAATTAGGAAATCATGTTGATCAATAGTAAAATGCACAATTGAAACAGGACATAGAATTGAACTTAATATATTTTTAAAGTGTTGTATAGAGATTGTCAAGGATAAGTTCTCTAGAAAAGTCCCTTAACCTTGAATCTTCTCTGACGATTTTCGATGCATTGGAAAACTTCAGTTGATATCTTCTTATTTTTTCTATATTATTTCACCATCTTTTCTCACTCATTTACAATTCAATGATCACTTTATATTGATCCAATTCTGAAATAGATTCAACTGACATTCATTAATTTTAAGAGATCAATGCTCTGATAAGTAATACGCATATCTTGATTGTTTCTTTGAAATGTACAGCGTAACAATTTTTGTAGATCAACTCTATCGTTCTCATTGACTTAATGAAACTAATAAAACGAAATAGTTAACGTTGAAAAAGATAAACAATGATGAGAAATCTCTGACCAGTTCAGTATAATGAAAAGAATAGTAACTGATTGAACCAATAGTAAAAATGTTCGTTTTCAATTAGCCCGTAAAATTTATGAATGAAGGAACCATAAAATAACTGTTACTTATACGTAATCACGTTGAATATATCATATGAGTAGCATTGATGATAGTCTTGCAATATCTTGAATCGACTTCAGTAACCTCGATATTTGTCAACCATTCAGCATTGCATTTTGTAACTTACTCGCTAAAAATACTGAACTTTCCGTAAGAGAGCTAGAGGCCGCCAAACTAAATTGTGGTATCAGTTCATGAATTCATTGAATGCTTATCTGAGCTGTGTTGTAAAGTTTAGACTACCTGTCTGGGGTCTTTCACGATAACCATGATCAGTAATCGGAGACCACAAGTGATGTAGATAGGAATCGATCACAATGGCGCAGAAGCACTCGCTTTTGATCTAATTCTAGATCTTGGTTCCCAGTATTCCTCTATATATACCTTCTCATTAAATCTTTTTGAAACATTCTCAGTGCATAGCCCTTACCATTATCATTACTATTGCAGTATATTGATTTCTTTTCAAATTCATCTGTTCGTATTGATGTGTTCTGGCCATTTAGGTTAATGCACATTTTTGCCAATGCTCCACGTTGATTGATGACTGATTGGTTGAAGGCTGTGAATTTCGATCTCTGATGGTTGAAGGTCTCGAATACATACTATTGATAGAATTAAGGCGTTGTAACTATAAGCATACTATTGAGACATTATTAGACCATTATTCTTGCGTACACACATACATGGATATAACAGTTGTTATTTAAGTTGTAATCGCTAATTAGTATGCTTTTTTTCTAATGTGATCCATATACTACTTAATTTTCTGAAAAAAATATAATCTCAAAAATCTGTATTACCGTTTGGGAATTTTATCCCTTTTTAAATGAATAAACAATCAACCATGTTTATGTATGTTCTAATGTACATACTGAATGTGTGTGTGTGTGTGCATTGATAATGCTGAAGATTTCATCATCATTTATACACTATCGTGATGGAATAATTTGTTTACGAAAAGCAAATAGTAATCAACATTTTCTTAATTGGAATAATGAATTTTATTATTTCTTTTTTCACATTCTTCTTTCTTTTCTTTTTTTTACAGTTTTCATCGTTTGGTCATAATCTGGAACGTGGTATTCATTATTTAAGCAATGTGTTAAATCAAGTAACTAAGGTGAGTGTGTATGTGTTTGTTCCTGTAGTTAGTAATTATGTCAAATAAGGCACACTAATATATATATATATAAACATAATTGATCTCATGATATCATTTAAAGCTAGGGAGCAGTGAACAACTGTTTCCTCCTATCAAAAAACTTCTCAGTACATTCTTCACCAGACCTCGAACCTAAAGCACACTTACTCAGGTCTTGAGACAAACGCTCATGTTTTTTTCCCTGAAAATTTTTTTCTCTCTCTGTTAAGTCAATTATTTTCTGAGTTAATGGATATATATTTATTTCATGACATTGTTGATTTCTACATTCATTGTTTTAACATTAAAACTGTCAATAAGAATTTTTGTCAATAGTTGAGATCATGAGTCAGTTTAAGCTAGACTGCCATGGAAAACCTGGAAGCACTGGATGGCTGTATTGTCCTACTGTAGGACTCCTCAGCAGTGCGCATCCACGATCAACCGGGTCGGTTGTGAAATAGTAACTCACTGAAAACAATTTCGTGGATTGGTTGAAGTTAGACATTAACGCCGTCGAATGCTGGCTCAGTGGTGTAATGGTTAGGCGCTCGAGCGCGGGACTGATAGGTCCCGGGCTCGAATCCCTCGAGGCGGGTTCGTGAATGAGCACTGTTCAGGTGTACCACAATAGGACGAAACGCTCGTCCGGTGCTTCCAGGTTTTCCATGGTGGTCTAGCAACCAGCAAGTGATGTAGGTGGTCGAACATGTAGAATGGTATCATAAAGGAATATGTTTTAAAAATTAGAAAACAATGTAGTCATACGAAGCATATGGAGAGCTTTATGTTTAATCGTTGAGGTGATTGAAACTATAAGACGTATCTACGATCTTGAGATAACAGTTAATTACTTACTTACACCTGTTACTCCCAATGGACCATAGGCCGCCGACCAGCATTCTCCAATCCACTCTGTCTTAGGCTTTCCTTTCCAATTCTATACTATTTTTGTTTATTTTTCTCATGTCTGTCTCCACTTCTCGGCGTAATATGTTCTTTAGTCATTCTCTTCTCTGTTGGCCTTGAGGATTACAAGCAATGAAGGCTTGCCTTGTAACACAGTTAAGTGCTTTCCTCAATGTGTGTCCTGTCCACTTCCAGTGCTTCTTCCTGATTTATTCCTCCTCTGAGATTTGGTGTGTTCTGTACCACAGTAGGTTGTTGTCGATAGTGTTTGGCCAACAGAATGAGTATTCACAATATCGCACGTGGGGCTTGAACCCAGTACTCTCCGTTTCGTGCACGAACGCTTAACCTCTAGACCACTGAGCCGGTATCAACCAATCCACGAGGAGTCACACCAGGACAAAATGTTCGTTCAACCCTTCTACGTTTCCAACGGTGGTCTAACATTGATCAGTTCATGATCACAATAAGATCATTTAACGATTTAATCTGCAAAGGCTTAACTAATCTCCAAAAACCATTAATACGTTGATAATAATCCTGTGCTAGGTAGTGACCAATTTGTGAATACAATTCCAGGGGCGCTAGCGAGTAACATGTTGAATACGAGACAGTTATCCGCTGCAACAATTAAAAATGGCCGAGAAATTTGTCACGAATTGACTGAAGTTAAACATATACTAACCATTAAACGACTTAATGGTCTAAGAGTGAATTGTTGGCGCACCAACTCGAAGTGATGTCTTGAGTTCGATTCACTGTGAAATGGTCGTGGTTACTCATTGTTGATGAGATCATCTACGAATATTCAACAATCTCCACAAAACCTTTATACCTACAAAATCAAATATAAAATAGTTTGCATTAATTTCTTCCAATGTATATATGGGCGTGTTTTTTTATATTCTCGATAACCGATAAACTTGACCTGTGTTACTGTTTGTTTGCTTATTAGATGATTACATGTATGTATACACTATCTGCTAACCTTTGTACATAACTTACATACATATGTACAGATACATGTGTACACATACTGCTGACCTGATGTATATACGCTGCTTTTTATCGTTAACATCATTTTACTAATTATAAATATGTATTTTTATGTAGTTGTAGTGAGAATACATTTACAATATGAGTCATTATGCTCCTACATCATCGGTGCCACCCCGTAGTAGCACATCTGGCCGTTGTGTTTATTTATTCATTTATTTTCATCATACATATATAAACATGTATGTGTGTGTGTTGTATCTGCACACCCACCCACACGCACACACAGACACATGCACATGTTACTGTAAATCTAATATTAAATGAGAATACACTGATTTATGTATTCCCCTGATGGAATCTGATGATCTATCTCTCATTCAGTCGTTAGCTGTCTGTTTTTGGTTTTTGTAATAGATAATGAGAGAAGAAACAATGAAATTTATAGGGGCACATATTGTTTCTTAGTTTTATTATTTTAACCCCTACTTTCAAAATGGGAAAAAAAGATGAAATGTAAATAACAAGTGTAGTTTTTATTTCTTTTTCAATTACATTTTGCCTAACTACAACCCCAGATATTACACACATTTGTATATAAAGAAATGTGGGTTTTGTATTTGATTTCTCCCCCATTCATTAACTGTTCATCAACATTTTTACAGATGTATGATTCATAATCATCGTTACTTTATTATTATTATTATTATTACTATTATTATTATTACTGAGGAATGGTGTGAAATGTTATCTGAACTTGCCTAATTTACAAAATGATGATGAATTTGAAAAATTTTCATCATTTCTGGGATGAACTTTGATGATGCACTAAAGTACTATTGAAAACTAGGTTATATCGTAGAAGAACTTACTGATTTGAATTTTAGCTATTAAATTGTTGCTTAGACCCACCGCTTTACTTACTTCAGTTTTGGCAACTGAATAGTCTTCATACCTGGGATATGACTCGAACCCGGCTATGTAAATTTGTATCCGAGGCATGGGTTAATAATACAATCGTTTGGTTTTAATCTTGGGAATCTTTCAGTGTGTACTCACAACTACACTTAAGTGATCGAACAAAAATTTATCTTCAAGCTTCATAACGAAAGAGTTACTTTTAGATCATTGAGTTGAAATCTGTATTCAACTGCTTGTCGATTCATGATATCAGAAGGGGTTTTGTGGAGATTTTAGAAATTTCACTGGTTGAAATCATGAGTCAAGTGAAGCTAGACCACCACGGAAAACCTGGAAGCACTGGACGTCCGTTTCATCCTAGTATGGGACTCTTCATCTGCTCACTCGTGACTGACTTCAAGAGATACTCCTGGAGTTCTAGTGAGAAGCCGTTACCAGTGGAGTTCAACCAGGTCTGTTGTGAGATATCAACTCACTGAAGACAATGGCGTACGGTGACCCAACTTCGTGGATTGATTGAAGTTAGACATTAACACCGTTGGATGGCGGCTCAGTGGTCTAGTTGAGCGCCCGGCGCGAGACCGATAGGTCCTGAGTTCGAATCTCGCGGGGTGCGGGATCGTGGATACGCACTGTTGAGGAGTCCCATACTGGGACGGTATGGCCGTCCAGTGCTCTGAGGTTTTCCATGGTGGTCTAGCTTCAATTGACTCCTGATTTCAACCAGTGAACTTCATAATATATTAATACATGACCTCATCCTCATCGGTGATAATTACCTCTTACAACGCTAACGTGGTTGAATTCTGACAACAATTTCTATTTCGAACTTTAGAAACTCTCTTCGAAGTTGACTCTTGTTGAGAAATGGCGAACAGATGAAAATAACTTTTATTGGCATATATTATCGTAACTATTTGTCGAGGTGTTCAGCTCTTTATAAGCCTCTTTCTCCTCTCTCTCTCTCTCTCGACATGAATGAATAAATATACTAAAACAACTTTGCCTACAGTCGTATTATAAGTAGTTACTGATTTTCGACCATTTGTTAACTTACTCGACAAATTATTATTATCATTATTATTATTAACTATATTATATCTTATCATTGCAAACGATTAGTTAGTATTTACGATGGTATATGCACATTCAGATGTTGTAGTAGCCTGAATAAAAATAGTTCTATCTGTTGAATTCATCGCCCGCCCTACACATGTATAGACACTGGCTCTCTGTTTCTGTTCTTTTCTTTCTCATTCTGTATTTTTCATATTTAGATATTCACAAAATGCATTTCACTATTCTACATGTTATCATTTCATTTAAATGCATTTAAGAATTCTCTTTAACTAGAAGATAATTTAGAAGAGGCAAAAAAATGAGTCGATGACTATGTACTTACATTTTTAATCATGAAAGCAATGGAAAACAGTTGATAATAACACGAACATAAGATAACGACATTTTAATAAATGATCTTTGAAGTTGATAACGTTAGATTTTAATTTTGTTACACTTCACACAGTTGAATTAGTTTGTCAATCATACACAAAGTAGAACCTGGCACATATGTGTATTAGTCCAAGTTTCCATTATAAATTAGAAGGGCGAAATATAATTAACCCAAAATAAATCCCATAGTAGTAAGGCTAATAATAGTGTCTCTAGTAGTAGTACAAATGCTTAAGTATATATATAGAGATTTCGGGATTTACGCTCTTAAGGGAAACAAAAAGTTAGCTCCATAGGTCATAGCGAAATATTCTGAATCATGTCACACAAAGTCTTTAGCCATTGGTTACGATAATCACATGTATCTCAGTCAGGTAGTTTACACTCAATAAAATGGCTCCGTTCTATTGACAATGATCTCACGGACTGTTACCACATTTTAGTTTGAAGACCTCTAGCTTTCTTTCAACCTACTCCTACGTCATACAGCATCGGCTGTCAAGGTAGGCGGTGGTCGCGCATATTTAAAACTTTTCTCAACCGCCTCAACATATGAAGAATCACTATCTCAAAGATTGATTCGCCATATTTATTTAGTACTCTATTTTTAACCTTGGGATCGGTCATTCGGTTTTCTCAAAATGTATGTGATACTTCGAACACATCTATTATCGAATACTAGTACTTACGACCACCAAATGCCCTGGTATGGCCGAGAGTGGGGGAGGTCCGCCCTCCCTCTCGAAATGCTCTCGCACGGCCACACGTAAACAGCCTCTGCCAGGGAAGTCCTACTCACTGCCTTCTCGTGGCGGCGTTGTTGTTTACGAAAATGAGAGGACGGGAAGCGAATGTCCGGCGCTTTAACCGGATTCCAAACCAATGGTGTACATGGGCTCCAGTATCCTGCGGGAACAAATGGCGTATGAACCGATCGTTGGTCACCAGCTACCATGGGACTGCATCTCCTCACGATGCTCCACTGCCTTGTGGATCAGACCTTCAGGTCAAAGGCTCGGGGAGTGGCCCCCTAAGAAAACCACCTGCTTCGATTTGGTCACCCTGGCAATATCACAGCCCACACACACAAATATGGTGTGGCATATATATATTTGGTGCCCTCTTGTACCAATATTTATATGTTCAATTAAATAATAACTAGTACTTACGAATATACTCTATTTTTGTAGTTGGATGTTCCCAACATATGACTTAATCTTACACATTTGTTTTATAGTACTTTTTCTTACATTTTTCTCAAATGTTTGGGTTTTTTTTTCATTTTCCGATTTACAATTTTTAGTCATTTCAACATGTTCCTGTTGAATTATATTTGATTCAATCAGAAATATGGACTTTAAAAGATTTAATTCAATCAAATATTAGTATTAAAACAACATTGAATCATTTTGTTCATTTCATTATCAATCGTCGTAGAAAATATCATTCATCTATATTTATCAAAAATAATATTGTAAATAAAAGTGATATAATAATAATGAATCCTTCTATTGGAAATGATACATTTGGGGTAAATGTTAATTTTTGTTTCTTCTTTAAAATTGGATAATTTTTATTATTTATATATTTATGTTTAGATTTTACTACAAATAACAACTGATCAATTGTAATCCTAACACATCAGTTGTAAGATTTGAATAAACAATATAAAATGAATTTAAATTTCATCTGATTGCACAAGCTAGTAGCTATACAGGACTCAGTAGCTAAGTGAGTAACTCGATGGTGTTTGAAGTGAACAGTACTGGGTTCGAGTCCGAGAGTAGACATGAACTCTTAGATGCAGGTACATCCCGCTGAGGAGTACCGAATAGGATGGAACGCACGTCCTGGATTCCTCTGTTAGCCACCATCCATCTTTGCTTATAATGCTTGTGACTTAAGGGAATATCGAGGCAATCCTCACAGAATGCACATATGCTAATAAGAGATTGACCAATTACAGTTCTAAACATCAATGGGGAAATTCAAACAACCACTACATAATGAAATTAAAAAGTAATATTAGTTTTATATCACGGACTGATTTTAGTTGGAAAAACCTTTAAATTCAGAAAACCCTGGATTGGTTTTTCGTTATGATACAAAAATTCTTAACAATATGCAACTATAACTTTATCTAAGATTCAACGAAATACGTTCAGACTTTACAATTTGCTCTTAACTGTAAAACCACTAGAAAAATGATTTTAGCTAAAAATCTATTGAAAATAACAAAACTGTTGGACAATGATTTCTGAGTAAAAAGCGATCATTTTCAAAGGCATAATACTTTTACTATCAATACTGCTCTAGTGTTTGCTTTGACAATTTCATCTCTTTGGGTAACTTGAACTAATGTATACATGTGCCACGATTTACGTTGAGTTTGACTGATGACTAAAGTGATAATGTGATATAATTGCCATACAGCTAATCAACTGCACACTTGATTGATGAAATTTTCCCTGTTGATAGCTTAAATCAATATAGACTGTGCGGTGTTCGAAACTGTAACTTGCTAAATTCTTGACCCATTAACTCATCTGTTCAGTAGACCAGTTCTAGAATGAATCAATCAGCCTATTGATAGGATCCAACGATGGTCATATTATATATACTGAAATTAAGAAGTTTCAACAGTAACATATTTTGACCTAGTTATCTAAATGTACCATACTCTTTGCGAGATAATTGAAAGGTGGCCTTGAATCCAGTCATTAGTAAAATCTAAGTTTAGTATCAAACAACCGATCAATCCTATCTACTGTTCACCGTTTTCAAATCATTCATGTCAAACCATTTTCAAGACTTAATAAATCTTTTTATTTAAACGCATAAACATCGGTACGAGGTGGCACGAAATATATATGCTCCAAACTTCGTCATTCAATTTGTCCGGGTGCTCAGATTGAAGAAGGTGATTTTCTTAAGATGCAACTCCCTGATCTACAAGTCTAATCCACAAATCAGTGGAGCACCGTTAGGAGATGCGATCCTATGATAGTCGGCGACCAACATTAGGTTAATACTCCATTTGTTTATTCAGGATCCTCGAGCCCATATGCACCATTGGTTTGGAATCAGGGTTTTCCAACTCCCCCAGGTGGATCATTTATATCCATTAACCCTGTTAAAGCGTCAGACATTCGCTTTTCGTCTTCTCAATTTCGTAAACAACACCCCGCCACGAGAAAGTAGTGAGTAGGACTTCCATGGTAGTGACTGTGTACGCGTAGTCATGTGAGAGCATTTGGAGAGGGAGAGATGAATCTCCTCACTCTCAGTTGTACCATGGAATTCGGGAGCAAATTGGTGACACTTCTCGACTTAGTTTAACTCAGTTCCTCAGTGTTAATAAATAAGTAATCGAATCCGATTAATACAAATGGCACAGAGGAATAAGGAAGCATATTTAGTGTAATCAAAATCAATATTACACGATACTAATACAATCAGACTCATTTTGATTTTCATTGAACTAATCATTCTGCTTTCTATCTCTATTCTATTTAAACTTATGTTAATGTAATTTGGTTGTTTACTTATCACCTTTGAAGAAGGAATCAGAAATTCTAAGTTCTACTCATTGTGGAATATCACAAATGTATATGTATCTCATTAGTTCTATTATTAATGATCTAACCAATAATCAATTTCAATAGTTGAAATCATGAGTCAGTTAAAGCTAGACCACCAGGGAAAACCTGGAAGCACTGGACGGCCTTTTCATCCTAATATGAGACTCCTCAGCAGTGCGCATCTAAGGTCCCGCCCTTCCCCGCGAGATTCGAACCCAGGACCTATCAGACTCATGATTTCAACTCTTGAAATTACTAAAATCTCCACAAAACCCCTTCTGATAATCATCAATTTGTTTGTAATAAGCAAGTCAAATTTTGATAATGTGACTTCAGGATAAAAATGTTCACTCTTGTTTATTAGTTTTTCCCGATATTTTGTTTTAGCGTCATCGTATTCATCGAAGATCAGTTAATACTGATGATGATGTTCTTCGTAAAATGTCTTCATCCACCTCATCGTCATCTTTAAATAATCCATCTTTGTATACAAAACATTTTGATGTGCAGTTACTACTCACTGGGAGACGATTTACTGATCCAGTAGAATATATAGCCATACCAGATAGTATATGTACACCAAGAGCTATAGGAATAATTCAGGTGAGTAGTAATATTAGTAGTAGTGGATGTTTTTTGTTTTTGTTTACCCCTTTGTCATTTGTTCCTGTTTTCATATCATTGACAATAGTTTAGTGTTTGAAAATACTTATACGATTAAACAAAATACATAGAATGAAATCTAGGAGTCAAACTTCATCCTGCATAAGACTCGTCAACTGGATATATCTGTGTCTCATACTTAATCAAAATAAAGCCGTAACAATTATAATCAGAACGATTTGGCATTTTTAAGTACGTTTCGAAAAGACTGAATGGAAAATTATGTTAAAAAGAATACTAGATTACAAAACCTAGATTAAGTTGCATGTTGAATACATCCGCACCCATGTGAGAGATTTTAATCCGTGATAACCAACATTAGCAACTGTTGATTGTTGCGCTGACATAAACTAAGATACTTTTTATCTATCAACATGGCTAAAACAAACAGTCAATGGTTGAGACGCTATTATTTTCTTTCTAACGTACTCCAACGTTGGTTGAATTGGTTGGACTAGGTAGGCGGAGATGTTCTAACCATCTCAGTCGATGAATACTTGTATGTAACCTCAACACTGCTCACTCGACCATACTAGTTTACGCAAAAATTGCTTCGAAGATACCTATAATGAGAAGCTTTTTATCTACCCAAGTTTTATATTTTCATTACCCGTGTATCACAGTTATAAGATAATACAGAATGAACTGTTGAATAGTATAACTGCCTTAAGTTTAGGCGAGTAATATTTGATCTATGCTGAACGTGATACAAGTTGATAAATAACAAGTGTAATGAACGATCTGCATACCTAGCTCCAAATGATCAGGTAAAGTGATCTATTTATATTGAATTAGTCATTTATGGCAGCTTACTTTATTCAATAATTATCTCCATCTGATTACTTCTTGTCCATTACATACATACACAGGAGTATGAAATCTCCTCTCTCTCTCTCTCTCTCTCTCGTCCTTTCTTTCTCTCATACACATATTATACATAAGTGTATTGCCTCATGTCAATTTATCACATTTTACAACTACTGGCCATTTTCCATGGGTAATCACTTTTAGATAATCATGATTTTATAATAATTTCTATCATGTCTACTACTATTTTATTTTCTTATTTAAAAACCTTTCTTTCTTTGTTTTCTGTTGAGACAATATCTTTTCCTATTATTATTATTATTATTATTATTATTATTATTATTATTATTATTATTATTATTATTATTACGCAATATATCTGTACTACTTAGGCTTCTGTTCATATGTGGGTGGGTTGGTTAGTAAGTAGGCAGGTGCCTTACTGCCGCCTTGTATTAACTATTTATCATTATTATTATGACTATTTTCTTCGTTACTTGTCTACTTGTTCTTTTCTTTTCAATTCTTTCTTTTGAAATATATATGTATGTAAGTATGCGTGTGTGTGTGTGTGTGTAGGTATACATCATTTATCATGAATGTTCATATCACAACATTAATCTGTCAATGTATGTTTAATGTTCAATAACCATTAAAATTGTCAAATTAATGAATAATCTAGGCAGTAGAATGTATAAATCATCCTGTATCTCTGCGTATATATGAATGGATACGTACCTGTTCATGTCCGTTTTTTTGTGTGGATGTATTAATATGCTGCATGTATGTCTGATGTATTTTTTTTCCTTAGAAATAAATTATTATCTATCTATCCATTGCCTGTTCTACTTAACAACCTATTCTTCTTGAAATTATTACCACTATGAATGTGTTGACGTTACAAAAATTAAGGTTTTTCCTTTAGAAAGAAATTCAGTATCCCCATGTTAATAATGATTATAATAGATTATTATGGATTCGTGAGGATCATCTTACAATATCTAATAGAAAAAAGTCATTAAAGGTAATTCAGTTCTCCTGGTCTTTTATAGCTTACTTCAACGGCTGACCTTAGTTAGATAATGATTGGAAATTAGAAGACACTTGGCAACCGTTTCGTCATAGTATAAGACTACTCGGCAATGTGCATCCACAGTCTTGTCAGGACCTTCAGGTTTCGCGAGCGAACACTTAACCTTTCAACTACAGAGTTGTCATCCAGTGGTCTACACGCATAACTTCAATCAACTATTTTCCAATATCTTGGTTGGTATCTGCCTCATACCCGACATGGTTGGACGCGACTTTTCACGGCTGCTGATTCTGGAAATTAACTCTTTATCAGATGATTATTATAAGCATAAATTGTTCATAGAGATCAGTTTGACCTAAAATCGTTGGTGACCTGATACTGACTCCCTGACCGAAAGGTTGACCTCACTGCATAACTTGAAGGCTCTGTTAGCAGTCCTGAGAAGAGTTATGGATGTACAGTTTTGATGAGTCCGATACTAGGCCTAAACGGTTTCCTTGTTTCTAGTGATTGTTTTACTAAAGTTAGTCTCTAACGTAAATTAGTAGATTTTTTAGTCTCCACAAATTATTAAATAATTAACCATTCAAATTAATGAAGAATTATAGTTTAGATTAAAATTTTGATTGATTGTCGATTTTGAGTCATGAAGAAAGTGATAATGTTATATTTCTCTGTTCAAACCAAAATAGGAGAGACGGGGTTAGTTGAATTTAAAACAGCTTCTTGTATCTACATTTATTAGGCAATACATTTTTACTACTACTGGCAGTGGAATTCACGGTGCATGTTTAAACTTATTTGGTACTAGTTAACCAGATTTATTTACAACTCCAGTGATTAACGTTTACATTGAGACCTAAACTTAGTATTTTTCTCTTTAACAAAGTGAAAGGTTATTTGGACTCAATAGTTTGTGTTAGAATGCACGGGTACAATCAATTGTTAAGTCCGAAATATATTAAACAATTAGTCTTATATTCCACAAATGATCACATGCCAAATGATTCATAAGATACTTGATCAAGGTAATCCTCTCAGTATGCATGTATGGTAGTATAGATAACGAGAGGAAATTACAAACATTTATTAAAATGTAGTCTACGAACAATGTTGTGCAAAATGTATTAAGACTATGCAACCAAAATGAAACTAATAATTTTTTTATATTTATTCAAATAAAAGCGGTTTGCTATTATAAATAGAAAAGGATGGTGGGTAGCAGTGAAATCCAAGTTGCACATTTCGTCCTATTTTGGACTCGTCAACTAAGCCTTAAATAAGAATTTCCATAAGTTCTTTAGACATTGACGTTGAATTCGGTTCGTTAGTTTTGTGAATTGTTACGCTACTATTCTAACAGATATTATTATACGAAATTGGTTGATTAGATTGTGAATTTTCATCCAATTGACTGCTTGGTACATGTATTACATGTTCCATTCACTGCTTTTCTCGATGCACAGTGATAGATAATGTAGGAATAGGTTAAAAAAAGTAAGAATAGTCAAAAGTGAAAAAATACATCATCCCAGGAAGTTATTAACTACTTAATTGAGCATTATTGGTAGGTGCAAACTACTTGGTTGGAGTTCCCACTATTGACGTGAACAGTACCTGCGAATGTCGAGTGATATAATTTAGAGTCAGTTGCATTGGCGTAGATATATTCACTCTTCGTCTAATTTTGTGCACGGATTGTCAAAATTATTTTGTACTTTTAATTCATCCTCTCTTGTTGAATCATATCCTCTCTCTCTCTAATCTTCTCTGTTATCACCGATACTATTTTGGTCGTTAATTTCATCTCACTTTGGTGTTTTGGTTTGGCAATCTAGGTCGATGTATCGTACTCTATGATTTGTTTTCAATGAGAGTAGGTCGTAGGTTGAAATCTTTTCTTTACACTATCGTTAGTTTAAGCAGGCAAATAATATCACCTACTCTAATACAAAAAATTGAGTTACAAGTTGGATATATTAGTGTGTATTTGTTAAACTTGCTTTCATATAAAGTGTTTCGGTTTAATAAATACATAAATCATACATGATTTTGTATTGTTAATAATAATAATAGTCGTTAGAACATGTACTTATATATATTTACATGATATTCTTTATGTTCACACAGTCCTCGATACTCGTCAGTGTGCGGTTGTATTTAGTACAAATCCTATTAATACAGGTCATCAGTTTAATTCACCCTTGTGAGTCACTACAAAGTTCCTGCGTATGTATGTATGTGTGTGTGGACTTATTGATGAATCTATCCATTCGTTTGTTTATATAATTGTAAAATTCCACAACTGATTTAATGAGCTGTTCGTCCATTCATCCTATTTTACGACGCCATTCTAACTACTTTGTTTTATTGTAATTATATCTGTGCACTAGTCTTTTTCATCATATAACCTTGACCTAGTTGTTTATTCTTTCTATCTTTACAAGTGCAATGGTAAAGCCGACACTTTACATTAATAAACAAAATACACGGAGTACCCCCCCCCTTGGGTCATTAGTCCATTCATATTTGGTTAAATGTTCACTGTTCAAATTAATGAATTATGAATAATAATGAAAATTGTCTTGTAATGATTGAGTATGTTTGTATTTGTCTACGTGTGTAATAAAAGTTAGATTTATTTGTTCATTTTAGCGCATAGATTGTCGTGTGTGTGTGTGTGTCCTCATTGAATGATGTATATTTTGTGTAGAAGAGAGTGATAGATTACGAACAATAAATCTTTCGAACGGTGAGTACACTGTGAAACCAAACTTTATTACCCTATAATTGTGAAACATGTAATATGAGACTAGGAGATTTGCGTAAACTGCTGGTTTTTAGACGATTTGTGTCTTGATAACATTGTTCGGATATCAACCGAACAACAGAATAAACAGCATTGAGAATGGGCATAAAGTGCTAGACAAAAGTGGTAAACTGTTTGTGATTCTTTCTCAACTGAGGAAGTTAGGATATGTATTGTTACATATGATTAATCACAGCTGGTGCAAGCGTAAATTGGAAGAATTGAAACAGAACATGTTATCAGTTCATGAAATCATTGACTGTTGGTCTGAATTTTGTTGTTAGGCGAAGAATACCTGATTTGAGTCGGCGTAAATAATTGCACTCAGTGGTTTGTAACGTTAGTTGACATGAGTCAGAATTCGTCACAACGATGATAGTGCACTCACTTTATATCTTATGCTGGTATTCTTTCGTATATACCTTTATACTCTGTCCTTTTTAACCTTTATTCTCAGTCCATAGTCTTTTTCATTATCACTGCTACTAAATTATTTCATTCTCTTCTGCTATCCATAATGTTAATCTCACATCTATGCCAGGCACTTCATACAACACTGACTGACTGACCTCAGCAGTACATATACACACCCCTATCAGTGTTAAATTTAACAATCTTCACAACATCTTATGATAACGTTTATTATTTGTTCATTAGTTAATAACTTCAAATATTAATTCCAAGAGTTCTAGTGAAACGCTGTGATTTGGAAATTCTCGATTCAATCCGCAGTGATTGCACATTGCTATAGAATCCTATAGATAACACAACGAAAAAGCTGTTCAACAATTAGCGGTTATCAAGGTTTTTTTTTAAAACGAATTGGTTCGTGTTATAAACTATGAAATAAAATTGAAGCTTATTTGTTTTGCCTAATATTTTTCTCCTACCTTGTGTATTGTTATTTCGTCAGGTTAATAATACCGATATGGATTATCATGTATCCAGATTGATCTCTTTGGCTATTGCGGAAATTCTTGGCATTAAATCATTTCCATGTCCTCCATTGTACAGGTAACTCCCAATATTGAATATCTCTGCATTTCCATTGTTCTAAACGTACCTATAAGTTTAAGTTCTGTGTTTTAATCGTAGATTTTTTAGAAATGATGATTGTTTTTTTTTTCTTTGAAAAACCAGACGTTTGAACAAACTTCTTTCAGTTTGTATAGTATATAATCCTTCTCAGCTTTTGGTCACATGTCAATAACTTTAGAGTCATTATTTTACACCATTCTGTCACTCTTAATGTGTTGCTAGAATTATGTGTATAATCGACTTTATCAAGAACTAAGTAATCGCCGATTTTCTGAATAGTAGATTGGCAATCAGTAATCACAAGAGCTTCGTCGTTTATATTTTCACAGGAGCCTGACAGCCGTCTATAAATGAAAGTTTTGGTAGTGCAGATCGCGTTTTTACTAAACAGATTATGTATGATCAACTTTCATTCGAGAACTGTGTGTATGTGTGTGACTCAAAATATTTCTTGCCATTAATTTGTATGGTTAATTAAATCTTTTATAATAAAAGGTCTATTCAGGTGCACTTTGCTGCCGACTATCATATGGCACGGAACTTAGGTCCTCTGTTTTCTGTCTACTACCTCCGACCATCTAACACAGTACACGCGATCTGGAGTCATTTACACTAGTGTTTATTTTCAAATCTAATCGATAGGATTCATTTGGAACCAGGCAGGATCAGAAAAAAACAACATTAATCATTACTTGGTGATTAATCACTTGTAAATATCCTAATCCTAAAGATCTTTCGTGGTACTAATCACTCGATGGTGATAATGTCTTAAATAGTAAAGCTTGATCGAATCAGCTGAGGAGAATCAGTTTTCCTAAGATTACATGTTCATCTTCTTTATGAGCGCCAATTAACACGAAACTGAAATCATGCACGATTTCCTGATGGCTATCTTCCATTCCCGTAAATGATTTATTCCAGTCCCATTGAAGTTGTCAGTATACAATGTAACTAGGAAATGTCAGCTTTAAAAAATTTTAAAAAAATTTAAAATGACTTATTTTTTAGACAAAAAGGACAAGATCTGTAATGGTTAACAATTTATTTAGAAAACAGCTTCTAAATAATCCGTTGAATATCTTACTATCTTTTCCTTTCCCTCTCGTATTGTTTATTTCATTTCTAGTTGTTATTCATTCGATCTGTTTTCCGACGGTGATAATTCACGTCTTCGACTTGCTTTATCATCTGGTATGGCTGATTGTTTACTACAAAATATTGCTGTAACAAAGGTTTGTTTTTGTTGCTTCCCTGTTGTGTTCTGTCATTTAATTACTTAATTAGTTTGATTGTATATTTTATTGGATTAATTTTGTTCAAAATTAACGATAGTTTACATTACCATCGGAACCCAATTAAATATCGATTGAAGACCATAAGGTAGGATTGTAACTGTATGTTTCATTTTAATTTGATGAAACCTTTAGACATTGCACGTACTTGTTGTAACTAGACATTGACTCCATGGATTTCAGGATCTACGGTGAGTACGTTACATGTCGTTGAATTTATAGATTGGTGTACACTAATTTGGAGTCTTAAACAAGAGTGATACAACTGTCTGATATGCTCACTGGCTTTGATCGAAATTCCGACTGGTCTTGATCCGCCATGTAAACTATCGTCAAAGTAGACAAAAAATCCACAAATCAAAAATTTGACTTATTTCCTATCTTCATCAGTATTAATTATTAGAATCTTAACCTTGTAATTTTTGAAAAATAAAATGTAGAGAATAGATTGGCATTAGAAATATAAATCACTAGGTTTTGACTCTGTGATCTAATGGTTAAACACTTGCTGCGAGACCTAAGTTTGAATCCTCGTCGGGGTTGTAGCTGCTTACCACTGAAGAACCTTATACTGAGGTGAAACAACTGTTCGGGGTTTGCTTGTTTTCAATAGTTTGCTAAGGCCAGTTGATCACATGAACTATGAAATTTAACAATTTCTAAGATCCTATTGCACCAAAAATAAGACGATTGTTCGTTCAGTGTTCAGCAATTAACGTCAACCATAATAAATCCCACTTTAGTAATAATAATAATAATAATAATAATAATAATAATAATAATAATAATAATAATAATAATAATAATAATAAATGACTTGTAAGGATCTGATCTGGTTTTAGTTTGAACATATAACAGCTAGATTATCCCGATGTTGATAGTTTGCACTGAATTTTGATCAGTGATCCTTCTAACTGACAACGTGAGCACCATGGTTTTCTCAGCAAAGCTACCTTCCGTCTAATCCATAAAAATTAGCTGAACTTATATTTTCCTATACCTAATTGTCAGCAACCGTTAAAGGATATGCAATCACTAGCCTATTTTTTTTCTGTATTCATGTATGTGCTTTATAAAGAGTTGTTTACTTTCAAAACACTTTTTCTTCATAAAGTAACAACAATCAAAATAAAACAAAGACCTAAGTGGTTGACACTCGATATTAGTTGTTTTGTCCGAATTCGTTTTAGCTTATCCATACAGCACCAGTGGAGCTAATCCGTGTCGGGTAGAAACAGGTGTCTACCTCAGTACACTGGAAGATGGTCGCGCAATTTCGTGAATTTGTTGAGATTAGACGTTAACACCATTGGATGCCGGCTCAGTGGTCTAGTTGGTCAAGCGCCTGGCGCGAGACCGATAGGTCCTGGGTCCGAATCTCGCGAGGTGCAGGATCGTGGATGCGCACTGATGAGGAGTCCCATACTAGGACGAAACGGCCATTCAGTGCTTCCAGGTTTTCTATGGTGGTCTAGCTTCAATCGACTCATGATTTCAATCAAAAACTTAACAATCTCCCCAGCCTCTAAACTTACACTTTTATAATTAGTCAAACTTGTGACTTTCATATCTCAATGAGTTGTAGTTAATCTACACAATATGATGACATAATCATCTCCTTTTAATAATGAAATGTGATAAATGTCATAGAAAGAAAAATGTGCGAGAATATGAAACAATAAGAATAAACGAAAAGCTTCCCTTCAATCTACTTTTCTTCATGCACTACTTAACAATCAACATACTTTGTTTTTTAAAAAATATTAGAAGGGTTCAATTGTCGCGGTTGTTAGTTTCAATGAAGCATGATAATTAACTGTGTTGTAATTGAATGAATGAATAGCTGATTTTTGCGTCATTTTTCTAGTGTTTGAGAAAAAAAGGTGAATTCTTCTGTTTACAGATAGATCTCTGTGTGTATATATATGCATTCAGTGATTTATTATCACTATACCTATATAGTAAGTACTTGCATTAACTTAATATGTACATTTCAATCACTATGTCCAAATTTTCTCATAGGGAAGGAGGGAGAGTTAAGTGAATCTATGCTTATCTAATTTTTTTTCTTTTAGACAATTAAAATTTTTAATTAGTTGATCTATGAATTGCATAGTTGTAGCCTTAAGCCAATAATCTTTTACTGTCTAGTTTTGCTTAATTTACTATTTGAGTACAATCATTATTATTATTATTATTATGATTATTATTATTATTATTGACACATATGTAAAAATGGTTCCACATACACACACACACACACATACTTCCTTCTAATTATGGGTAATGATTTTTCACTCCATTTTCTCTTGTTCTGTTTGTTTTTTGGTTTGTATTTTCCTATGGGATTGGGAATTTATGTAATTTTATTGGTTTTATGTCAACTAACTCTATTATATACCAACTGAATTCTTGTTGTAAATGACACCTCATTGTCACATATATCTTATGCAGATTAATACTATTAGGTTAAAACATAGATTGCTCAATTTATTTAGAGGTATGTATTACAAAATATGGTATTGTTAATTACTAAAATCATGACCTTTTAGCTCATTATTATGTCTCCCGGTTTTTTATGCTTAGAACAACTGTATATTGTTGATACTCATAATGCCTGCTATTGTAACATGATTTCTCCTCTTTCCTACCTTCAATCTATCTTGAAGTTTTACTCTTTTAAAAAAAACAACTTATTCTTATTATCTCAATGTGAACATCAATATCCAGGGATCTGGATGTATCCAACTGATGAGTCTCAAGTAGAACGAAACATACATATCATATTCTATTACTGGTCAAAATTAATCAATCATTACAATTCGATTTTGAGCTGCAGTTTTTCTATGTGAATTTGACATGTATCACTCGATTGTCCAAATGTCAGAGTAAACGTGAAAAAGGTATTCAAATTCATAGCGCACTTCTCTACAATTGAGATTGAAGCCATTTTTTTAAAGTTTTTAGATTAATAAAAGGAAAGGCGAAACTTTCCTTCATCACTTTCATTTCAAGTTTAATAAGTCGGAAATCATTTCTATTACTATTATACATGATTCGATATGGCATTGAATATTTGTACGTGCTCTAATATTGAGTAAGCTACTATATCTGTTTCTTTGTGACGTTATTCCTTGACTCATTATTTATTGCTTGTGAAGATTTTGATGACTACTTGATGCAATTGAAATTAACATTGTTTATGAAATTAATCGTTATAAAGTCATCTTTTGTTCTCTGAAATGTGTTTTTTTTTAAAAACTTAATGTATTTGTTAACAACTTCATCGGGAAGGATTAGATCATCAGTACCATCTTAATTGTTTTCTCATTTCTTACAAATTTTAAATATCATTCAAATAAGTTACTTAGTTTCTTCTTCCTTTTCTTCACCTTGGTTTTCAGGATTCTAAATCTTTTATCGACACATGTGGTAATGGTCAAATTGATCGTGGTGAAGAATGTGATCCTGTTGTTCGTCGAAGTTTAAGCTATTCTTCAAACTTTACTAATCCAATGTCTTGTTGTAATTTGGAAACATGTTTAGCTTCTGTATGGGCTGTATGTACACATGGTCCATGTTGTCATCAATGTCGTTTAAAACAAAAAGGTAGTGTATGTCGTCCAGCGTTTGATCAATGTGATCTACCGGAATTTTGTACTGGTACCCATGTAAGTTGGATTGTGTTTCTTTTCTTATTAGTTTTATTTATGTGTGTCCATTAGCAGAATCTGGAAAGGCGGGTGGTGACTAATATTACATTTAGTGTTGTGTAGTCAACCTTTTTCTGATTCGGAACACTGAACATTGATTTGTAATAGAATCCCTATTTTGTTCATAGCATTAGTCAAAGCCTTTATACTGGCGTCTTAGTAACTAGTGTCATGCTGTTAAATCCCGTCTTGTTCTCCTGACTACGTTCTATCAATAAAATCACTAGAATAAGCACCTTGACATTTCAGTACAATTTTGTATATTAGATAGGTTAAAAGCTATTGGTAAAAAGCGTACATCCGACGTGCAAACTGGATTAGTGAGCACGAAGCATCCATCTAGGTGAGTTGGAAAACCTTGACTCCTAACCAATGGTGCTCACAGGCTCCAGAAACATCATAGAAAAAGTCGCATATTAACCTATTGTTGGTCACCGGCTACTACCATGAAACCGCACCTCCCAACGTTGCTCCGCTACCTTGTGGATTAGACTTGTAGGTCAAAGGCCCCCTAAGAAAATCATCCGCTTCGGTTTTAGCGTAGGGACAGTATCCCAGCTTACACGCAGATGGACTAATAACTACTTTGTGTGGCGCATGTATATTTTGGTGTTCATTTGTAACAATGTTTGGGTCTAAATAGATTATGTATTTATGTATAATGTTTATTTTTGGTTCAGCCATCTTGTCCATTAGATTTATATTTGGAAAATGGTTCTCCATGTTTAACACAATCAACACAATCACTAATTGGTATTGTATCCGCATCGTCAACATCCTCGTCAGCCTTATCATCTTCATCCACTACAACTATAACAACAACCGCTAGTACTACTGTTGTACAGAAAAACAATAATTCATCATCATCACAGTTGAATTATTTAGTTGAAAATCATAAATCATTATGCTATCAAGGTCGTTGTCCAACACGTCATAGTCAATGTGAAATGATTTGGGGTGAACAAGCTACAGAAGCGTCTGATTATTGTTTTCATTTACACAATACTAAAACTGATGGAGCTTGTGGTGTACAAGGACAGCATTGTACTATTGAGTTAGTTCAATTCTCATATATCATACTATACTACTTATGTCTTGTATTTTTTCTGCTTTAGTTCTGTTTGTTCATTCATTTTTTTGTTAGGTTTTATTTTCAAAAAGATTATTATAAAGTTTTCTGCATTGAATTATGTGTATAAAGAGGTTTTCCTTACGCTAATTTGTGGAATGTCTGTAAATATAAGTATTGAATACTATTTGATGCTGGTATTTATTTATTATATTGTTTATCACTACTCAACTGTAGCTGGTACTTTGACATAGTGGTTCAGCTTGAATGTCATGGTGACCCAGGTCATTTGAAAGCACTAGATGATAGATCTGAGGGCGCAGTTGTACTATCCACTGTACTTGGGGTTGTAACGGCAATAAGGTTTCTTTAAGGCACCTACGATCTATAGCAGTTCTGTCTTCTAAACATGAACGAACGGGGTCGGCACTAAAACTATCACCGCTTACGTTACCTCACAAATTCTTATCGCCGGCAGTGAGGTTTTTAAAGTATTCATGGAAAGGCCATGTGTGACTGACTTTAAGTAGCCATCCGTTGGACACTGCCGTCGCTCTCCGCTAACCTAGGTTGCTTTTCAGGTACCTCGAGAAGAAGCATAAACCTATAGGATAGGTACCTGGAAAGTAGCACCATTTCTCTATAATCACTTACAGCACTCAAGACTGCAGATTCAAGCCGAAGTACACCATTATGTCAATCTTTATCATAGACTGAAAACTAGTTAACACAGTAGACAGCTGTTTGCCTGGTTATCAGATTCTTCAAAAGTAAATACAGCCACGACCCATGTATGACGAATCAAACTCCATGACCTCCAAGTTTCATGGACTACTCGTCTTTTTGTTCAAATTGAAATGAATGAACTGTTGGTATATTCACTAGTTTGGAAATCTAACTTATTTAATCAAGAGCCAGTTAGAACGGTGAAATTATATAGATTGATCGGAATAGTTTAATAGAAACGTATATTGAGTAACATGTTAATGCTAAACCTTTGATGACAGTAATAATATTTAACCTCACGAATTTAGATAGGTTTTTTCATGTAAGAGTATAGTGTTGTTACCCTATCATTTTTTCCGACGTATATTAATCTCTTTTTCTTTTATATCACTTCACTCTCCCTCACCCATTCTGTTTCATATCTTTAGACATGCAAAATGTGGCCTTTTACAGTGTCAAGGTGGTAGACCTAGACCTGTTTCATTGGAAGCACAATCTGGTCAACCATTTGTTACGTATACAGAACATCAAGGACGTCAATTTGAATGCAAGTAAGTGTTCAAGTTTTCCTGAGTTTCAGTTTGCTATTTTTATTGAGCCTCAAGATCATACGTACTTTATTATGAACGGAAGTTGTTGTATTACGATTTTGGCTTTTTTGAATATCATGCTTTTTCTTTGTTCCTGACTAATCTCTGCCGAGGTTAAGGTTTTCATGTGAATCATACCTGTCAATTTTGAATTTTTGATCTCAGTCTAACAGTCAATCAAACTTTATGAACACTGGTATCACACAATCTGTTTAGATACCGTTTCCACTTTTTTCCATTCTTATCTTATTCATTAGTCAACAGAATAATTCATACTGGAAATTCAGTTTATAATTATACTCATTAGTAAGGGTTTGTAATTTAGTATTACAATTGGTCACTCTCTGTTACATCCATAGTTGACTTCGTCGATATTGTCTTCTATCATAAGTTCTAGTATGGTTATTGTATGAAAAGCATTGGAATCCAAGACATGTATCATTCTCCTCGCGACTCTACAGTTGTATGTACCGCCTCAATTAATGTTGATACTCACAATAAGACTTAAGCGTAGTACTGTATTCTCTAAATAAGATGAAACACCTATCTTGGATTCTACTATTTATCACATATCATATATGAGATAACTTGCGACATAATGCTAATATCTATGGTATCCACGTGAGGTGCACATATCCCAACGATGACTGTTTTTAATCCCGATTATTGGCAATAAAAAATAATAAACCTTTACTTAATAGATTCATGCTTGTTAAACAAGTTAGTGGCTATCTGGAGCGTATAATGCATTGATGCTTGCAAAAGTAAATAATGGTTTTATGTATATAAACATTAATCCTGGGATATGACTGGCATATCCAGTTGATGAGTTTTGAATAGGATGAAACATCTATCATACATTCCATTATAAGCCATATACCTAATATACCAATACTTATTTCTGTACAACTTCTTTTTTTGTCTCTCTTTTAATCAAACTACAGTAAGATTTTTCAAATTGATCTCTATACTGTAATTTTGTGTTTGTTAATTAGTCTATCGCTATATAGCCAGTTCTGTTCATTTGTTTATATATTCATTCTTATCTTCTTCATCCCTCTTTTCTTGTTTACATTTTATTTGCTTCATGGATTTATTACTTTGCTTTATTAACTATACAATCTGATCAGTTGTAAACATTTGTTTGTTTAGTGTCAAAATTTTTGTGTCAAAATGGAGACATACTACTATTATTGTGTTTATTTACTAATGTGTTTAATTATTCTCATCATAGATATTCTCTTCTCTTTTAATTGTGTTTTTTTTTCTTTCGTTCATTTTCACTGATGATGTGGTGAAATTATAATTTATCAATGAAATAATCAGATCTAAGATCATAACTCTTGAATGATGGCGCTAAATTTATTCATCCATTTGGTTAAATAGCATATTGGCATCATAGTTAATATCAATTCAGGGTTAAGAACCTTGACTCGAATTCTTAACCCTAATGTCTAACTCTAAGTTCTAATCCTAATTCTTCACATTAATTTATAACCTTTTTAGCCTAATAATTAGATGAATATTCTCAAGATCACTTTTGCTTCACTTAAAGGTCATCTAGAAATTATAGTCTCACCAAATGATGTTGATCTTAACACTGCTAATGTGTTTTTGTACAACAATTATAATTAGCAAAATGTTGTATTCTTTTCTTCTTTTGTTTTGTAGTGTCTATTTCACTTTGGTTTATCATATGTGTGTATGTTCAGTATATGCGATAACTACCAATAGGAATAAGCGGGAATTATGTGGTATTGTGTACCACATTACAATTGGTTATAATAATATTGAGCTGTGAAAATTTACACGTTAACAATAATACCGATTTGGACCGAGCTTAACATATTTGAACTTGGAATCTAATAGGAGCATGCGCCGTTTTGACTATCTAGGACTGAATGATATAAAAACATGGTTTTAATCTATCACCCTATCAATATCGTGCATGGAAAGAAGTATAAATTTCTTTTAAGAAAAAGGCATATTGGCAGATCTATACTACCTGGTTGGGGTAAATACCATGATCGTAATCTGTGGTTAGGGATGTTAGATGGCATGGATCAGAATCAAGCTCAATGGCACAGATATATTCACCCTCTTTCTTATCCTATTGACTTCCAGTATCCTTTCATACATACTTCGAATCGCATCCCAAACATTCTTGCATTGTTGCTTCTGAGCACCTGGATGATAGTGAGTAAAGTAGTTGAATGCGTTGATCTCTTCACTTATCTTGGGAGTCTCACTAATCCTGATGGCCTGGTGTCTGACGAAATCTTAGCACACATTCAGTAGGGTCACTCGGCCTCTGTCAATTCCTGTTGGGGAATATACAGTAAAGAAACATGTTACTCCACATAATCACCTTTTGCTCCAAACATAAAAAGTCAGCAAGGACAATCATAGGAAAATCGGCAAATGAGTAATGATACTGTCGTTAACATTTATGCATATAAATTACTATGAAGTGGAACAGTTCTAGTATTATCACTTGGATGCTGGCTCAGTGGTCTATAGTTTAAGCCTTTGCACGTGAGACCGAAAATTCTGTGTTGAAGTCCAGCGTACGGGATCGTGGATGTTGATTGCTGAATAGTTCTCTACTAGAACGAAACGGCCATCCAGGTTTTCAGTAGTGGTCTAGCATTGATCGATTTATGATCTCAATGAAAAGTTCTACTATTTTCGTTCATTACTTTTTGTTTGCATTACTAATTCATATGGCAAATTGTTTGTAAATTTTCTTTGATCCTTATTTTTCTATTACTGTCGCTGTTGCGTTTAATTCTTCTATGTTCATAATCTAACAATTAATCATTTTCAATTGACCAGTAGTTGAGTTTGAATTGATACGAAACATTCTGCGTGCGCACACGCACACACGTCCCCCTATATATATATATGCTTATATTTATTATTTGTTAGTGTTGCCTATGTGTTATTCGTTAATGAAAAGATAATCGCTCATCTTTATTTGTCTCTGTGTGAAATAAAAAAATACAATTCTCTGTTTTCTTCGTTACACGCAACGTTTATTAATACTACTCTGTTAGAGAGCTACCGCTGACAACTACGTACATATACACATATATTTTTTGAACGTATTGAATGTTGAAACATCACAACAACAACAACAACAACAACAACAAAATCCTCAGATCCTTAATATTTTTTTTGACACTGTGATTGTGGCAGTTATATTATTGTGGAAAAAGAAATTTTATTCTTAAATAAAAAGAAAGAAAATACCATAACAGACATTTTGTACACCTTGTTATTATAATTATTTTATGGGGTTTGGACACGCATTTTCCGGTTTTCAATAAAATTTATGACATTAATTTATTACCTCTATTCACAATTTATAAACTAACAAACTAACGTATACTAGTTGTCATAGTTATTTTAAGCGTTTGTGTTTGTGTTCTTTTATATGTGTTTGTGTGTGTAGGTGTGTGTACATGCACCTGCACACTTTTGTCTAAGAGACAAGGCGATTAAACTAACAAAATAAATGAGTTTAATAATGTTTATGAATAACAGTATTATAGTAGTAACAGTAGTACATTGTAAGTAGTATCATCAGTAACATCAGTACTAAATTTATTCAAAATAACTTGTTGTTTCTGCGTATTAGTCTTGAAAGAACTTTACTCCATTTTTTTTGGTAAGATAATAACGTTTTCTTTGTATGTGTATATGTCTATATGTATATCTGTTGCTTTTAAATTTCTGTTATTTCCCACCGATCATAAAATTGTTACGATGATCATAATATGTGAGGCACAAGGGTGGAGGTTAGTATGTTTATTTATTTTCAGAAGATTATTGTTTATCTATGTGACTACTGCTTGTCTCTATGTGCGTGTGTTATTTGAGATAAAGAAATGCGACGTTTGTAACTTTACACTTGAAAAAAATGATTTATTTTAATAATAATACTGAAATATTGATATTTCTGAGAAAGATGATCCGACCTTCTTGAAGGTGTGTGTATGTGCTGCTTACATTTTGGTTAGTTATACATATCCTACTGACTACATGAGTTGTTTTCCTTTGAAAAAGGTTTTCCTTTACTTTATAAGCTAAGTAGCTATGATATTACTTATACAACTGACTAAAGAGGGAACGAGATAATAGTCGCCTAATATCACGAATTGACTGAAGTTGTAAAATGTGACTACAGGTTTAACCCATGATGTGGATGAGGGACTGATGTTGTTAGCATACACTGTTAAGAAGTTCCTTAGTTGAACAAAAAATCAGCTATCCATTACCTCTTAGTTATTGTTGATGTAAATTATTTTCTAAAGTCGAACACTTTGAAGTTGATTGATCACTAAATAATCACCAATGTTATATTTCTTTTAAAATTAGTGATGATCAAGTTGCACTGTAACCATTAGTATAAATAAGTAATTTGATATCGCGTACATTATGTTCATAGAAATAAGAACTAGAGAAACACGACATTAATCACTTTTCAGAGATCAATAAATTGCGAATATTGCATCCCTATATGAAGTCAGCTGCGACCTGAATAGCTCACTTTTAATGTTTTCGACTATGAAGCAGCCTCGAGTCTCATAGAGAACATCAGTTCACACATGATTTCCATCAAGCCATGTTAAGTCAATACAAGGTTTCCTATGGACTGTCTCCGGTCACTTGGCAAAATCGAACAATCTGTACAAATTTATCGTACTAACGAGTTCTTAATTTCATCGTAAGATAAGTATTTTGTCACTTTTACTGCATACTTCGCCAAAGTACCCCACTGGATAGGTTGCTTCTCCTTTTCAAATTTAAACAGGACTGAAGTATTTGAACTTCAAGATGATAGCTGAAGGCAGCTTACAGGAAACCCTGGACCCAGATTTCATGCTACTTGACACTCGTCAGCAAGGTGTACCTGTAATCTTGAAGGAACTAATCTTATTTAAACAAACACTGAAAACCAACAAGGACTGGACAGCAGTACGCATTTACGAATCTGCCACCAGGGCTATAACCAAGCTCCTTGAGTCTTGCTGTCAGACGGCTAACCTCTAGACCACTAAGCCGTCTACCTGTTTAACTCCGATTTTTGTTAGCGAACGTTTCGTTCAATTGACTGAAAATTTAAACCGAACCGTTGATACTAACTCAGTGATCTAAAGGGTTAGGACTAACTGAGACACCTAACAGGTTCTGGGTCCCATCTCTGATCCATACTCCTAAAAAATCTTATATTTGAACGAGACAGCTGTCCAGTGTTTCCTAGTTTTTACTATAATATATTATTTGATATTATTACTTTATGAGTCTCACGTACATATTATTTTATTTACTTGTTTATTTTCTACATAGATATCTGTCTCATACATCTAAAGTTCGATTTGTCCCAGAAGGCGCATCGTGTGCGCCTGATCGTTATTGTTTTCATCAAGAATGTGTACTACCACATGTTGTTTTTCAGTCGATTTGTCCAACTGGTCCAATAAATAAACAATTAGAAAATGGACATATCATCTATAAAAATGTGACATGTTCTGATCATGGTGTAAGTGAATAGTGTTGTTTTCTTTTTTTCTTTCTTGGAAGGAGGGGGAAGAGGTAGTACATAATAGGCTTTATGATTGTCCAAGAGTGTGTATGTATGTACGTACGTAAAGTTTATTTATAAAATAAATAAACACGTTTTCAGTTTGGGGTTATGGAGATTGTTAAATTTCGTTGAAATCATGAATTGATAAATGTTAGACCATATCATTGAAAACCCAAAAGCACTGAACGGCTGTTTCATCCTACTACGTGGGATTCCTCAGCAGTGCGCATCCGCGATCCCACATGTGGGATTCATACCCAGCACTTTCGGTCTCGGGAGCAAACGCCTAACCTCTAGACCACTGAACCGACATCAAACGGTGTCTAACTCCAATCAATTCACGATATCGCGCGACCATCTTCCTTTGTCTTCGATGGGTAATCGCTTCACATTCAACATGGCTAAGCGTTCGCGCTCGAGGCCTAGAGTACCTGGTTCGAGTCCCGCGATCGAGATCGTAGATGTACGCCGCTGAGGAGGTCCATATCAGGATTAAACGGGCATCCAGTGTTTCCAGATTTTTAATAATGGTCTAACATTTATCAGTTCATGATTTAAATCAAATGCATTTTTATCGATACTGATCTATTCGTCTCCCTGTCAGAGATGTGGATACTGTTAAAAAAAGATTTCTGGTTAATCGGAAAATAATTCCAGTGTAATTTATTCATTCCAGTATAGATTCATTCGTCGTTTGATTTTTGTCTATAATTTTCAAACAGTTAGTTATTAATGTAGTGAGTCATCTCAAGGTACTGTACCGCATTACTATTATGAGATGAAACTCATAAAATCAATAGCAAAGAAACTGAAATAATTGTAGTCAGGACGACTGAATATTGAGAATACAGCTTAAAAAATCCGAAAGAAAAGATAACTACGGAAGAAAACTGGAACTCAAGACTGGAAGTAACCGTTTCTAAGCCACACCATTCAACGTCGCCAACCATTGATTACAGTTACCTTGCTGACATCAATCAGCAAGTCGGTATCCAACAACATAACTCATACCAACAGTTAATGAATTTATGGACTAATAGCATAATTTGGATTATCCGTCCTTAGCTTATTTCCTTAATAGCGAACATGATTTGCCGAGTTAGACAATGGTTTAATATACTCAACACTTGTTACAACCATCTCAGTCGATACAGATTCACAAACTCATCAGTCAATCTACTGTCTTCACCTAATATCATATACCTAAGCTCAAAATTGCCATCACAATCACCAGTCACACCTTAGAAATCTAGAAATAGAGGTAAATTCACTCAACTATTCTTAACTCAGTAAGTTGATCAGTAATTGAATCTGTGATCCAATATTTGAATCGGTTAACTATTTGACTATTTACTTACCTCGCAAAACTAATCATACAAAGAAATATCTAAGTAAATCGTACTAAAGATTGGAGAGAGACAGTGATTTAATGTAAATTTTAAAGATTTTTGATAAAATCTTTTTTTATTGTTACAAAAAACTGAGTGCATGCCAAAACAAAAAGTATCAAAGTGAACAGAGTTTAATCATTTTAATAATTTCCAAGTTCTTATCTTTCGGTGTCTCTGAAACAGATGATATGTGCAGTTCTTTTAAGGAAAGTAAACATAGGGAGTAAGATCTCCGACCCTGACAGAGTTGACAATTGAATGCAACTTATAGAGGAGAGCGGTTAGACATACAGTTCTCATGTGTCATCTTATAATGATTTAAGTTTGTAATAATTTATAAAGATTGAATATATTGATTGTGAAAATATTCCGCCTTTTTCATGCGCGCATTTAGAATCAGGAGTATTTTCTTTGATTTGCCTTAATTTAAGTCAAGTTGTTCTAATTGAAAAGTCAATTATCTGAGTTAATAGTATACATAATAATGAACTTAACCGCCTAAAACTATATTTTGTTCTAGAATGACAAACTGATCATATGCATAACGGTATTTAGATGATATGTAGGTGGTAAAATATGATTGTTTCCAATCACATAAAAATCAATAATTCATTGGAAATGCTTACTTAATCAATCAAGAAATAAATACAGTCAGTGGGAATTCCTTTGAAGCTTTTTTAAATGCTCAGCTGTATTTAAGCGGTCAAATTTAATAAAGACTAAATTCACTCGTATTAGTATACTTATCTGTGGAAATTACAGCTAGGAAATCTCTCAAACAACAGAGTTAAATGAAGTTTTTAAAAGGTATATTACATTCAATCTATAATTAATCATTTGCATATATATACCCCTCATGGAGGAGGATAGGCCCAACATCAGCATTCTCCATTCATCTCTATCCTGGACAATCCTTTCCAGTTGTTATTCATTCTTTCGATGCAATGTGTTCCTTGGTCTTCCTCTTTACTGTTTCTCTTCAGTATTTCAAGTTAGCGTTTGCCTTGTGATCATGCAGTTTGATGATTTCCTCAATGTATATCCTATCCACCTCCAGCATCTTTTCCTAATCCACAAAACCAAGTACATATAGCTTTAGTCTACTTCAAATAATAATTCAGATAAATGATTATTTTCAAATTAATTATCTATTTACTTTGCTTAAAAAGTAAGTATCATTTCGTTATTATTCTTTCTTTTTTTTTGTTTTGTTCAAGTTATGTACTAATGCTGGTTTCTGTTTATGTCATCCTGAATGGACTGGTAATGCTTGTGAATTAGCAGTAGTTATTACCAATAAATCTAATACTATTACAAATGATCGAAATTCCTCCTCCTCCTCATCATCATCGTCGTCAATAGTTTCAAGTCAATCAACTATTATGAACAATATGAATCCATTGAGTTCAGAAGTTATTCATTGGATATGGGATTATTTAGAACAAATGCAAAAATCTTATGGAAATTCTCGAAATTTTCAACTTAAACGCTTTAGTATGTTATTTTTTTGTCCTTCTGTTTATTCACATTTATCTCATGTATTCAGTTCAGTTGGTAGTGTATGTGTGTGTGTATAGAGAGAGAGAGCGAGAGTTAGAGAGTATGAATCGTATTTCTAATGTGTAAGTTCATTTAGTTAAGTCGATATAACAAAGATAAGTGATACTATTATCAATTTGACCTGAACCTGTAGTCAATTTGGTTAAGAACAAACTAGTTTAAGTATAAGCCATGACATTTTCTATATAATACATTATAACCATCAAGTTTCGTTGTCTATCAAAAATAGGTTTTTGTACTAAGATGATGATATTTCACGATCTGGTTCATTACTTCATTTTTTTTATGATAGTAGTCTTATCATAGTAAGGTTATCTAATAGATTGTTTTTTGAAGAAGCTATAAACATATGAACATATAACAATACTTCCATAATGAGTTCAAATTCTCCTGAACTTCTTGGTCTTATCATAGTGCTTTATGATTACATAGACTAGACTAATTAGACTATTTAATTGTGAAATTCTAAGATTTCACGATCAGTCATATTACATCCTCCAATTGTAAACCATTGTGAAAATCTTGATAAAAAGATACTTCATTGATGAATCGGTTTGATTTAATATAACGTGTAGTGGATTTTTTTTTACATAAAATTCAACGTATAGTTTGTAACTTATTATTAAATAGGTAGTTTGGTGTGTGCTTCTTATATACACATAATTAGTTTATAACGATAGTCAGGAATAGAATGTATTTCAGTAGAAGATTGAGAACGAAATAACGGGAATGGAAAGCAATTGATATAAAAACGCAGGAAGAATGAAATCTGAGACAATCGATTGATCACTGGGTAGTGATCAATGTAATGTGTGTCGATCCTTATTTAATGCAGATCGAATGCTATCGATCATGTTGCAATGTGGCTACCAGTCTAGGTGACTCGACACTGCGTGCACTATATATTGAGGTTAGATGGTGGTTGGAGGTAGTCGACAGAAAACCTTGGACCCGGGTTTCGTGCTACTTGGCACTCGTCAGCAAGGTGTGCCTGTAATCTTGAGAGAACTGGTGCTCCCTGGTGATTCGATCCTGTGTCACTCAGCTTCACAGTCAGAGAAGTTACCACTGAGCTATCCGGGCCGCGATTGTCTGCCGGGTGGTGATCAATGTCATATGTGTCAAGTCCTTCTCAGTGCAGACTGAATGCTATCGAACCGGGATAGAATCCGTTAGGGAGCACCAGTCCTCTCAAGATTACAGGTACACCTTGCTGACGAGTGCCAAGTAGCAAGAAACCCAGGTCCAGGGTTTCCTGTCGACTACCTCCAACCACCATCTAATCACAATGGATTGATATTTTGCAAATTAAAGATTTACTGTATGGTTCTCAGATTTTAGTGAGATGTTCTATAATTTCATATTCAAATCCATTCGGTTGTCCCCACTCGTATTCTTGTTCACTACAGTAGAACCTATAAATATTTAGTTGTTGATACTCTTAAATTGAATACGTATGGCAAAACACAAGAGAATGGGGGGGGTTGAAATTGATTGACAATAAGAAAGTGATTTATTTCTCATGAAAAGAAAGGACAATACACTTTAGTGTATATGAAATCTTAACATCATGATTTATAATTTCTTGAAATGATATCTTCTTGAGGTTTCAAATCATAGACCTATTTTTATATTAGATATGCTGAACTAACCAGATAGATGTTAAATGAGAAGTGAAAAATGCTGACGGATATACTTTGTTGGTTGAAAATGGCCACAAAACGTTCTCTCAATCTAACTCTTAATTCTAACTCTCACCTATTTTTAGTTTCTATGTAATAAATTATTCATTTCTATCATTTTCATCCTAATTAGTTAAAAGTTTGTTTTACTTTTCCATGGTCATTTCAAGGGATTCTGAACATCGTGAATAAAGCATACTTCCATAAAAATCTTTTCTGTTTTCATAATTTATAGAAAATTGTTTTGATTTCTTGTCGGTGTTGTATTCCTTTTTTGCTTTCTCCAATTTTTTATTACTTACTTACGTCTGTTACTCCTCGTGGAGGTGCATAGGCCGCCCACCAGCACTCTCCATCTAACCATGTGCTGGGCAATCTTTTCCAGTTTTTATTCATCCTTTTCATATCTGCTTCTGTTTTCCGACGTAGTATGTTCTTTGGCCTTCCTCTTTTACGCTTCTAATCAAGGTTCCAAGTTAGGACTTGCCTCGTGTTACAGTTTGATTAATTTCGTAATGTATGTCCTATCCATTTTCATCATATTTCCCTAATTTCCTCTTCAGCTGGAAGTTGGTTTGTTCTCTCCCACAGTAGACTGTTGCTAATAGTATCCGGCCAAAGGATGTTGAGTATGTTGCGTAGACAACCATCTATAAATACTTGTACATCCTTATGATGTTTTTAGTAGTTCTCTAAGTTTCAGCCCCGTTCAGTAGGACTGCCTTGACATTGGTATTGAAGATTGTGATTTTGATATTGGTTGAAAGTTGTTGTGAGTTCCATTTATTCTTCAATTGTGGGAATGTGGCCCTTGCTTTGGTTTTCTTCAATTTTTTATTGTTGTATGAATATTTATTTCGATAATTTTATTCGGAAGTTAATAATCACTTATCATATGATTGGATTGATCACTAAAATAAGATAGCTGTTGTATGAAAACTAACTCTGAAACCATGAGTTGATTACAGTTGACAAGCTTTTCAAAGACTATAAATCGTATACTAAAAGAATATTTCACAATTTAGTTCATCACTACTCGTGAACAGTGTAAATGAACTAACTTTTTATCTCTTAAGAGGCGATGTTAATTTGTGACCACTGAGTTTGAACTACCAATCTTCTTATTTTCATATCTTTCAGTCCTTTCTTGATATAACGCGATTACGATCGTTCAGTTTTATGTCTCAATGAGTATATTCCATTTATCATTGTCGTCATCAAATATACATAAACAGGCAAATATCATTCCACTGTCGACTGGATTGTAAATCCCACTAGTTATAGTTTCCAGCTGAAGTAAAACTACTTGGAGGTCATAATTATTCCATGGGGATATTAATTTTCGAATCAATTCATGTTCGTAGGTACAAACTATCTGGTTAGTGTCAGTGTAACCAATAGTTGAAAACATTAGAGGGCAGCTCAGAATCGGTTACAATGGTATAGATTCACCCAATTTTTTAACCTTCCCTTAAATCTTCAATTCCAGAATTATCTTACACTTTTCTGCTCCACAAATTCATTCTTCTTTCTAGCATGTTTTCTACTACCATTGATACTGTTATTACTTATACTACCCTAGAATTTGTCTTAATAAATTTTTATTGCTGTATTGTTACGATTTGATAACTTGAACTAATGCACATATATACGCTAGGTCTTTTGTGTTGACAACTGACTAAAAACTTTTCATAATTCTTAAACTTTCAATAATTCCCTATTTACTTCGTTTAAATGATGAAAGTCATCTTCAAGCTCTTGTATGATTTCTAAAATTTACATTAAATATATCACTTTAATCACTAAATATTTAATTATGTTGTCGAATTGAATCAAACTGAAATTAACGATTTCATCTGAATATTATTTCATCATAATACATAATAAATATTATTGGGGTCAGAAACCAACGTATGATAGACAACCGTCGATCTCTAGTGGAGTCTTGATGATGAGTCTCATGCTGGGACGGCGAAACACCCGTCCAGTACTTCTTTGTTTCCAGTGATTATCTGACTTAGGTTGCTTTGTAATCACAACAACATTCAACAATCTCCTCAAGCCACCATCCTCAAAAATAAATAATTAAACATTTTCTTTCCCATAAAATTACCCGCTCTCCCTCTTTCATAAAGAGTATGATTTGTTCTATTTTCAAAAATTTGTATTTTCTCGATGTCGATATTATGGACTACAGTTGATCGATTTTTGTTGGCATGTGTACGTTCTAATCAAATTGCCTCCATACCCCCATGAAGTCACATGTTTAGAAGTAAAGTTGGCTAATAAGAATAATAGTGGAGTCTGAAAGGTTTGTTTCATTCTGTTTGGGACTCATCATCTGAGTGTGTCTGCACTCAGTGTGGAATGCTTCAGTGCAGACATCCACACTTGTTGGCAACTGCGTTCAACTGATGAGTCCCGAACAGGGCGAAATGCTTCCTCTGTTAACCACTACCCAACTTTAACAAGGATGACTTGTTCATTCAGTTTTTCTCACTCGAATAACAATTTCTGCTGTTTTACAAATTCTGATATATCTCAGAGTATTTCATCTTCGACTCCATGAGAATAAATAACAACTAATTAGGACGATTTATTCTGTCATTGTGTCTGTGACTATAGTTAATCAAGTATATGACGTCTCTCTGACCTTGACATTAATGCAAGTAAAGTATAAACCAGATTTGTCCTTTCATTGTCTGACAAGAATCAATATTTACATGCTATTAAGGTTTCAGTCAAAAATAAATAAACAAAGCGGGAACACTAATTAGGATATATATATATATATATATATATATATATATATATATATATATATATATATATATAGTCGAATGAGCGATTGTTAGAGGGACGAATGGGCATAGTGTCTGGTTAATAGATTAATGAATCATATTTCCTTCTTTTGATTAGTCTTGGAATATTCGATATATATATATATATATATATATATATATATATATATATATATATATACATGTATACATATACATAAACAACTGTTCAATGACTCTCTCTATATAGTTTTCACTCGTTGTCCAACTGATTTGTTGGTATTTGTGATAAAACTTAACTTAAAGACTGTTACTTGATAGATAGAACTCAATTATTAGTAAGGTCTAGATAAACATGACACTGGTCAATAAACAATCAATCTAGTTATCTCTGTCTTATATGAAGTCAGTCTCGACTTGAAAATCTCAATGGTTGCTTATCTGAGATATTTAACAAACTTTTTTTGTCCCTCCAGTTGTTTAAGTTCATGTTGATATTAAACAATATCGATCATTGACAAGAAACTGTATTCCTTTGTGATCTTTTATTATAAATGTTAAATAACTACTTGGTTAAGGTCCGCGTGACTATTGTAACCAATGGTTGGAGACTCTGGGTGACCTGGCTCACAATCGATCACAATGGCATAGGTGTATACACACTTTGTCTTCTTTTAAACTATGAGATTAAAACTGCTTCATATTTTTCTTCTTACGAACTAATTCTTTCCTTCTGTACTATATTCTTATATGCAATCATTCTTTTATATATTACCACCATTGAGTTAACTGCTTCTATGAATCCGGTGTTCGTCTTGCTGTGCTAATGAGGTATGGCAACTTGAACCGATGCATATATGTACCTTGTCCTATCTGATTGACTGACTTTTTTTTTCCTTCCGTGGAATGGTTTTGTAATCATACACTTCATTTGTAGGTTGTATTTTCTATAAATTCATCTTAATTGATTTATCATTCGAAATCAGAGTGTGTTATGCATCTGTTTTGTCATAGTATGGTACTCTCTAAAACCTTTAGTCTTCGTAATAAACTCGTAATTGTTCTAACAACTAGATCGGCATCTAATAGTATAATTTAATCTTTAATCAATTTACAATATTACGTGACAGTCACTCAATTCCATTTATAACAACTGTTTCACTCTTGACATTATTGAATTCTACCAGTCATGACCATCCAATACAACTTCGGGAATAGTTTGCAATGAGTCAAAAATTGACTAAATTATTTGATAAGGTTTTGTGAAGATATGTTCTATTCATAGTTTGTCTTTATGATACTCATGATATTAACGTTGTTTTCTACCGTTAACAATCTCAAGCTAAATACCTAAAAATCAATCACTTTTTTTGTATCTAGTTCTATTCCTTTTCCTACGTTAATATCCTATATCAAGTGGTAACTTGAACCGATACATATTTCTTCCCGGTTCTAATTTGAATCAATAAATTGTGGTATAGAATTCGACATTATTCTAACTTTGTCATTGATTGAAAAGACGTAGACAATGATATTTCTTAGATATTAATCTTATTTTGAGTCATTGTAAATAGTTATTATTATAATGGACTTTTATTACTCAATATAGGATTATGCAAACGGGTGACTGTTATGTAAGTATTATTTCTCATGGTTAGCTTATTTCAATCATGTTAAATAATTGACATGGTATTTGCACTAGTTTGAACTCATTAACAATTAGATGTATTTACCGGTTTTAAGTCAATTAATCCTGCTCATACTTTCTGAGATCTAGTCACTTACGTTAGAATGAAGTTATCATTAAGTAGTTAGTTGTTTAAGTCATGAATAGTTGGAGAGAGCTGATCGATAAGAATTGATATTAGTTTAACCATGAAGGTGAATGCTTCGACATGTCGGTATACTTTTTGTTTAATTATTACATAATAAAAATTTATGAATTATTTGACTGTTAATCAATTTTTTTGATTTCTCTATTCATTGTTATATCAGGTCATAACAATAACCATAATGGTGAGAATTATAAAGCTCCATTGAATACATTGTATTTAGTTTGTATACTTGGAGTTGTTGTTGGTGGTATATTTCTATTTCTGGCAATTTTTATGTTTATTTACAGGTTAGTTGATTATATTTGTGTGTTTGTATTTTACTAGTAAACTTTAATGATCAAGGAAAAATTGATTGATGTTGTTCAAGAAATTCATGTATTTTTGTTCCCGCTTGTCTGTTAACTGTAAACAATTGTAAGAAATTCGTGATAGTGAAGTAGGAGGGAACTTATTGATTAATTTACACAACTTTCAACAATCCAAGTAGCATATTCAAGTTACATTTTGGATAGCCGACTAGTATCACTAGTTAGATGTTTAGAACTAGTTGGCAGGAACTTCTATTCAACCTAAGTTTCGTACTAGTTAACACTTGTCACAAAAGTATACGTGTAATCTTCGAAAAACTGGTGCTATTTGGTGAATTCGTATTCGCATCATACAGATTCATAGTCCGAGACGTTATCACTAAGCTATTTGAGTCACCATGGGAAGGAAATTCTTTAGTGTCAATTTTTTATAAAATGTCTTGATAAAAGTCTCATTTAGGATACAGTATATAGTTTTATAAACAGGTAGGTATTGACGGTTTCGTTTTGCCACCCTAACCAAAGAAAGTTTAATCGACTTCAATAATGAATTGAATTGATCGTCTGTGATAATAACGATATGGTCAATTTACAATTATGAGTAATTGCAAGACGATAACCACGAGTGTCATCTTTCTGATTTGTTTATCCACATAAACTTAGCCATTTTTTTTTACTGATTGTCACTAATTCTAATCTGCAAACTTTTGTGTCTCAAGGTCATGTCATGCTAACATAAACATGAAGTTGTTCTTCTCTGATTTTGTCTTCGTTAAACGTAAAGTTTTTCCGTACAATCCTGCCTTTTCTTTGTGTTCAACCTCTGGAGATTATTGTTGCAGTGTTGTATAAAGGTTATCATAGCATCCAATTCACAATGGATCTTATTCGTATAGGAATAATTCCGCTCATTTGTAATTAACAAATTAGTGTTGGCTCCGACCGAACCCCCAACTAGTCATAATCGTTTTCTACAATATTTAACAATAGTCATTTCAACCGCATTAATTTTTAAACATCCACGGAGGTCCTGCTCACTACCTTCTCGAGAAGAGGGTGCTTATTAAGCTGAGAGGAATAAAAGCGAATGGCTGGCACACAACCTGAATCCGTAGGTACAAGAGATCCGTCTCAGGAAGTTGAAAAAAAACACACCTATTTTAAATCAGTGGTGGACATAGGCTTCACGATCCTCATGGAATAAATGACGTATGAATCCCTTGTTCGTCGCCAGATACCATGGGACTGCACCTCCTGATGTTGCCCCACTTTCTTGTGGGTTAAACCTCTAGGTCAAAGACTCCGGTAGTGGCTCCATTAGAAAACCACCTGATTCTGTTTGAGTACCTGGACAATACCCCAGCCCACACGAAAATTGAATGATTTTTGTGTTGCGTATATTCTTTGGTGCCTCCTTTCACTAATGTTAGTATTTAAATAAATAACTTCTCATAATCATCCTTCCTTATTCTCACATGTTTTTACATGGATTATATGTTATAACTTATTGAAATGTACAAGATGACTATAGTTAAACACTCTCTATTAGACAACTGATGGGTCTGGCTCCGATTTTTCTGATAGAGTTATAGTTGCTCATTACTGAGAAACCCCTCACTACGAGAGAATGATTTTCCATTATACCACAGTTTTCAATGTTGCCGACGTCTGTAACCGACGTAGATTTCTATTACTATTAGTAATAATAAAGTCTCGCTAAACTTCCTAATAATTTTCTACTGTTTGTCTCTTGTTTTTTTCTGTTCCAATTTTCCGCTAACATTACATATTTAGACGACGGGGTCGACCTAATATTTTCAACAAATCTTATTATAATAATCACAATCATAGAAAGTTTTGTGCATTTAGTAGAAATGGTTGTCGGCGTCGTCGTTGCTGTAGAATTAATCAAAGAAATAATGATTTATTATCACCAAGATCTACTAAACATAATGGTGGTTCATTACGCTTATTTAATACTATTGATTCAAATTCGACAGAATGTCAAGAATTACAAAGTTCCATGTATGATCGATCTACTGTCGGTGTTGGAGGTAGTAGTTGTAGTAGCCATGATAAATCAGGATATGATCGACATAATCGTTTACATCATGATTATTGTACTATCAGTAGTAGTAATAATCGAAATGGTAGTAACCAAGATGAAGAATGTTCACGACGTGTTCGTAGTCGAACTGGTAATAGTCGTAATAGAGATTTAGAATGTCATAATCATCGTCGTCATCATCATCATTCAGAACATAACAATGAAAGTAAACATCGACGTAGACAACATAATCGTAATGGTGGTAGTAGTAGTAGTAATAGTCATGGAGTAAAAGATAAAGAGGAATTATCAAGAAAAAAGAAACTTGATCGTAAGCATAAATCATCTAGTCGAACTAGTGCACCTGGAAGTAGTGATATTAAACTATTGGATTCTATTGAAGGACAATATGGAATTAATTTCTCTGATACTGAATTAACTTATAAACATTCAAATAATAATAATGATGATTATCATAATCACGAAGAGTTAAATAATAGTATGGATAGAATAATTAAATTTGGCAGTATGCCTTCATATAAGTAAGTTACAGTATCTTTTTTGTTCAAATGAATTCATTTATTCCGACAGTATTTTTTTAAACGTGTCATCACTCTCAAATTTCATTTACTTCATATAAAATTCAGCCATCTCCGTAAACTTATACTGATAATGATCCTATACACTCACTAGTGACTAACTTCGAGAGGAAGTTCCTTAGAATTCTGGTGATTAAAATTTGGGAGAACACAAAGAGTAGATGCACCTGCGCCATTGCAAACGATTTTGAGCCATGTCACTCAAGGTCTCTAACCATCGGTTGCTATTGGACTCAATGCTATGCCTATGCCAGCAAGGCAACGGGAAGCAGAATCAAGGCTTCCAGATACACGAAGCGTGAATCGAGTTGGTTCTTTATTTTGGCATGGTGAGATCAAATGAATGACGCTACTTGGATCCTGTATGCGCGTTTCGGAGACGCAGCACACATCGATGGCGCGGGATTCTAAAGTTCTAGCTAAAGAAGCCTGTTGTCCTATTTGGCATAATGTTCGGACGTTGAAAGCTCCCACATGTGGTTTAGAGCGTGGTTTCAGGAGACCAGGAATAGCGTTCCGGGTACTCAAATCGTTTGCCCTACCGGTGCGAGGTGATGAAAGAACAGGAGAAGGGTTAGTCGGGGAGATAAGAGAGTTTTTAGGAGGTGTAGGAAGGATTTGATCGTGACCAACTTGGTCTCGTGTGCTGTTACGTGTATGAGGGCTGATGTAACTTCCCGGCTGCCCACACCGTAGAAAGATATTTCTTGAGGAACCTGGAAAGGAAGATGGATTAATGTTGATCTTAACGACCTGGGGCCGTGACCGTAGAACTCAAAGGACAACTGATTGAGGCCGGTCGCGCGCGGCCTTTTTGTTGAAGGTTTTTAATATGTTAGCTCCGTTCTTCAAAGAGCCTTACCGCCGGAGACGGAAAACCGTGAGGTAAGGTGGGGTGTGACATTTTTAGAGTCGACCTTTTCTAACCTCTCGTGAAAAGGCAGCATCGCTGCAGATGCTGGTTGTCCGAGGGAAACACCTTACTGTTGTCACACCCCTCTACAATCAGCAGTACGACTTCGCCCTCAGACCTTGAGTTGCTGCTTTTAATCTTACCGTTCTCCACTCGACCTGCCTGGCATGGTAGAACCTACAGGAACATATATTTCAGCCGATATAGCCCGGTTGGGTCATCACGATAGGCAAGCTCGACCACCATGTCAAGGTAGCAGCTACGGTCGAAAATGTATAGCCTTGAAATTGATTCATCAAAATCATTTCAATACACAAGAACTTTTCATTTACTTCTTTCTGATTGTTTTCTTTTTCTCTTTTTTCTAAAATTTGTTTTTGTTTAATTTTTTTTTATTTATTTCAGAGAAGATAAAATAAAACAATTGAAACGAACAGCTGATACACTTCCTCCTTTTAAATCATTAAAAAATGTACAATCAATAAGTACAAGTGAAAATACTGTCTATTTAACAGATTCAACAGACATAACTGTTAATTTAACAAATTCTGACTTAAATGTACCAATTTGTGGTACATATACATCTTCACTTATTGAACCTATTGTTGTGAATAATAATAATAGTAATAAACATAATATTAATCAAACATCTACATTATGTGGATCAGTCAGTGTAACATCACCGCCAATAACAACAATAACTGCTATTACTTCATTAATATCATCATCATCATCATCTACTGTACCTCCGTTATTTCCATTCTATTCAACTGCATACTCGAAATCGGTTTCACCTATGACTTATTTACCAAATGATGATTTAACTACTCAAACTACAATATCTAATTCCAATCAAAATTCATTATTATTACACAATGTAACAACAGCTGCATTAGTTGGTGCAGGTCGAGCTGGAGCTAATGCTGCTGCAGCAGTGGCAGCGGCAGCCGCTGCAAACCCCACGGCATCAGAAGTAACAACAACAACGACAGTCATATCTACTGGGACATTAGATGTTATGTCGTCTAGTAATAATGATATGTTAATTGATACTTGTCCAACAACAGTTTCTCCGGTAGATACTTCAAAAGATGCAATGAATGATGTATGTATAAAAAAATATACTTTTATTTTATTTTTCTTGGTGGTCAATATTACCACCACCCTGATAGAATTATTTTGTATCGTTTTATTCTATGCTCAGAATTGTGTATGGTCTGTCCGATAAACATGTGAACTAGGAGGTTACTATCAATTACCATAATTATGGAGTTGATAATTCAACTCTTAATTGCATTAATGAAATATAACAGTTGACAGTAGGGAGTTGTGGAAATTGTTAACTTTTATTGAAATCATGAACCGATCTAAATTAAATAACCATTGTAAGTCTTTGATGGCCGTCTCGTCCTGGGTTCGATTCTTGTATTCAGAGTCGTGGATACATACCAGCTAAAGAGTCCCTAACTAGAATGAAACGGGCGTCCAGTGCTTACAAGTTTTCAATGGTGGTCCAACTTAAATCGATTCATGATTTCAAAGAATGTTACATTTAAACTTCTTAATGAGTATATAATCATTATAAAGTCTTTGAGTGTATAAAATACTTAACTTTATCATTATGATGTTTGACGTATTAACTTTCAAATCAGTTGTTTAGATTCTCTAGAGATTATTATCATTCCCAACATCAATTAAATTATAGTTAATTTTAATCACTTAGTATTACATGGTGCAGCGATGATTTAGCGGCTAAAAGACCTTGTTTTCAAACACTGGTTCGTAAGTTTGAATCCTACCCACTTCAGTTACTCTATCTTAGAAAGTCATTTATTCCTTCATGGCGGAATTCGATATCAGTGACAAGGTAATATTGAGTGCTTTTAGAAGTACAAGGGTGGTAGCCACTCCTTGGTTCCCCACAACGTAAAATAATGTTTGTTCTCAAGCTATCTAAAAACGAAACTGGTTACCTTCAAGCGTGACGACAGCATAAGAGACAACGGTTTAAGTTCAGTGACACACAACCTTTTTACGAGTATTTTTAAATGTGTTAGCTCCTTAATTTAAAGGCCTTATCGTCAGCGACAGTTTATAGGTTTAGATGATGTGTTCAACTTTATGCTCGCCTTTTATAACTTCTTCTTAGCGTTGTGGATCGGCATCATCAGTCACTATAGATCGTGGTTATCCGTGCGGAACACTTAAGTGTCTTCGCATCCCAGTTCAGTCAAGAGTAGGACTTCGCCCTCGAACCTTAACTTTGTTACCTAGGGTTGCTTGATATGATAAGATCGAGAAGAACGAATGTTCCAACCAATATAGCTATGTTTGGTCATCATAATATTGAAATCAAACCATTATATCAAAGCAGAAGCTGCAATCAGGAGTTGGTTAGTTTCACCGACATGTGGCTTGAATTTGAGCGTAAAAACCTGTATTTGATAAGTGATTTGTAATACTAAACTACTGTGTCCAATCTATGTAGTTGTAATGTCAAAATTTCACTTTTTCTCGATGTGTTTCATTTTGAATCTACATCATGAATTGCGACTATTTATTTACTCATTTGTTATTGTTATCTCATAGACACAGTTTAACATCATAATGGAGAATTCATGGCGTCAACCAGAGAAAGGTATTCTAAAGAATAAAAATGAAGGAGGTAGTTACAATGTGAATAATTCGTCGTCGACCAACACTTCCACTAATCGCCGACATCATAGGAGATCTTCATCATCAATTAATCATAAAAAACATCATCATCATCGTCATAGATCACCATCATCATCGGCAGCAACCGGTAGTCATCATCGATCCAGGCATAAACATTCAAAATCATCACGTCATCATCATACTACTCATAATACTATGGATAATAATGATGCCGGTATTATGAAAAGAAATGACTCATTCTCTGATTGTTCTTGCCATTTACATGAAAATGAGAAAAAATTGAGAAAACATCAAAATCATCATCATAATCATACTCGGAGATTATCTCGACGGGGTAATAATATTGTAACTAGTCGTTCAAACAGTGTAAATGACGGAAGTTCACACTTAGAATTTTGTGCAGCGTTAAATGATATTAATGGTAATGATGATAGAAGCCCAAGTGGTAGTTCATCTCTATCAAGTCATGGTTTAGAATTTTTATCAAGTCATTCATCATCATCGTCATCATCATCATTATCTAGAACATTAGCTACATCGTCATCATCATCATCGTCTTCTACATCATCATCATTTACTGATTTAAATTCTCATTGTCATCATCATCATCAACTTCGTCGTCATCATTCACATTCTAATCCTCATTGTCACAAAGATCATGATAATAATGATGATGTACAAAGTTTAAGTTCATCATTCACTTCATCTACTACAAGTACTTGTTCAACTGCTTTAGAAGTTAATGTAATCAAATGTAATGATTCACAACAACATCAACAAAATGGATTAATTAATAAAGATTCTACTGATCCTATAACAACAGATCATAATCGTTCAAAACGATTGGATATTATAAATAATAAATCAAATCGTTCAAATCAACAATTAAAAAAGAATTATGATTATTGTTCTGAGAATTATCAAACTATTCAATGTGTTAATAATGATAATAGTATTGGAACCGATCCTATTAATATTGAAAGAGAGGTTTGTTTGTTTGTTTTAATTAATATAAATAATTAGTTAGACAGTCACATTATAGAACTTAGTACATTATGTACATCGTTTGAAGTTGCCATAATCCATTAGCATAGTGATATAAAACATTATTTGAATAAATCCCCTAAATGCCCCGGTATGGCCTAGAGTAGGGTGCTCTCACACGGCCACGTGTATGCAGCCTCTGCCCGGGAAGTCCTATACACTGCCTTCTCGCACCACGGGTGTTGTTTACGAAATTGAGAGGACGAAAAGCGAATGTCCGGCGCTTTAACCGGATTCCAAACCAATGGTGCACATGGGCTCCAGTATCCTGAGGGAACAAATGGCGTATGAACCAATTGTTGGTCACCGGCTACCATGGGACTGCATCTCCTCACGATGCTCCAGTGCCTTGTGGATCAGACCTTCAGGTCGAAGGCTCGGGGAGTGGCCCCCTAAGAAAACTACCTGCTTCGGCCTGGGCATCCGGGCAGTAACACAGCCCTCACACAAATCGAATGATTTATGTGGCGCATATGTATTTGGTGCCTCCTTGTACCAATGTTTATGTGTTTAAATAATAATAATAATAATAATAATAATAATAATAATAATAATAATAATAATAATAATAATAATAAATCTCAGAATAATAAATGTAGTAACAGTATCAGAAGTGATTGAAAAGATTATTCATCGAAGAATACGACTTAGAACTTAGATAAAGAATGGATTCATCTTAGCTACCATGGGATTACATATCTTAACGTTACTCCACTGCTTTTTGGATTAGATCTTCAGATCAAAGCTCGGAGAGTGATCTTCTAAGTACATCACCTGCTTTGGTTTGGGCGTTCGGGTAGTATTTCAACCCTCACACATATATATATTTGGTACCTCCTTGTAACATTGTTTATGTGCTTAAATAAAATTAATTTTTGACTTATGAACGATCAACAACGTATCGATGAAAATAAAAGGAACATGAAAAATAGTATCTATAGACATTCACACTAAATTTTTAGAACCATTACTTAAAACAATCATAAGATATATAGATGAAACAGTTAAGACGATCTATATATTATGTATTTTTCTTGTTATAGGATCAACGTAGTTCTCATCGACACAGTCGTAAACATCATCGTCGTCATTGTCGATATCGCAAACACCATGGACATCATAAACGTCACAGTGAATCTAATCAGGAAATCTCCGGAACAATTAATCTTACCGGTGAATCATTAGGATCGTCTTCTAGTACGACTAATAATTGTAATTCTGGAATTTCCGAAGCATCTTCATCATCTTCTGGACTAACGACAGTCTCTTGTCATCGTCGACGTTCAAGAACACGAAGTATAACAGATGAAGATTGTACAACTTCCGGTTCACGAAGAAGTAGTCCTTTACCACCAGCTCCAACAATATTATGTAATGTAGGCCAGCAAACTGATGAGTTGAGTTTATTGAAAGTAGCTGGTCTTACAATATCGTCTAAAACTGGTAAGTTACATACAATTGATTTATTATATGTATGTACTCTGATTTGACTGCTTACTTCAACTCTAAATCTACTTCTAACATATTTGTAGATATTTATCCAAATGAGTTTGGTAGCTAATCGAAATGGTTATCTTACAACAAAGACGTTGTATACTTCAATCTATACCAATCAAACAGTTATTTTATTTTGCAGTTATAATCAATGCTTGAATAACAGCCATTATCCGACTCTGATTATGTCTAAGCGTTCGCACGCGAAACCGAGAGCGCTGGGTTCGAGTCCCGCGTGCGGGATCATGGATGCTCACTGCTGAGGTGTCCCATACTAGGACGAAACGGCTATCCAGTGCTTTCATGTTTTCAATGGTGGTCTAACATTGATCAATTCATGCTCTCAATTAAAGACTCAACAATCTCCACAATCCCATATTGATATTTTACAGTTATAATTAGTGCTTCAATAACAGTCGGCTAACAGTTGAAACACATTTATCTTTCAACCACTAGATAACATTTTAAAACTCCTTCCCCCCCCCTCCGAAAAACACTTCAGTTCGATCAAAAGCTGACTGTTGTTAACTAAGTATCATGCATAAACGGTATTCCTCAAAAGTGAATATATATGTATGTACTTAGTAAGTGACATTAATTATTATTCATATTTAGATAATAATTGAGTACTGTAAGTAAGTATACACAAAATGTTATATTATGTACATTTTATGATATTGCGCTGAAAAATTATTCACAATGTCTTATATTATTGATATGAGTCATTTGTTACTTTCGTTAGCATTACCAGTAGTATTACTATTTCGGATAGTTCAAATCATGAACTAAACTTAGTTACATAACCACTGAAAACCAGGATGCATTAAACAACTGTTTCGTACTAGTACGGGACTCCTGAACATTACGCATCCATGACTCTACCTGAGAAGATCGAACTAAAGAGTATCAGGTCTCATCGGTCCAAGTTGCCACACCACTTTAACTCAGAGATGAAATTAGTAAGACAAATTCAAGATGAGTAGAAACACTAACACTATCAACCGGGTTCACAGTGAGTGTTTAGCCTTTATACCCCTGAGTTGCGATGTACGCAACTCAGTTGTCAAAATGTTATGCGCCCAACATGAGATCTAAATATCCTAAGTTCGAAACTCACCCTCGAGTGAACTGCTCAATGTACAGTCCTGAGAACTTCCGTACTAGTACGACACAGCTGTCCGGTACTTCATGGTTTTGTACAGTTATCTAACTAAGATCGCTCCGAAATGTAAACCATGGAATTTCCCAATCTGTGCAAATCCTTCGTTTTCATTATACATGAATGTTTGTGTGTGTGCGAGTGGGTGTCTTTACACTCCCATCTTTATTGTTTGTTTTCTTACTTTGAAGGTGCTAATTCTGAATCATCGAATAATAATAACAATAATATCAAGAGTAATAATGAAAATCGTAAATCTTATTTAGATTCTGAAGGTGAATGGGAAGAAGTTGAATGTAATGAATCAGGTTGTGAAGAATGTCAAAATTCAATTCACACAACAACGACTACTACTACTGATAAAAGTATTAATAGTCATGGAAATAAACAATCGAAACATTTAACAACTACATCACCTCCTATCCTTTCTTCACCTTCTCATCCAACTATTATTTTGCAAAATAGAATAAATCAATTACATTCAACATCATCGAATAATTTCAATCCATTATGTGTAACATTAAATAACCAACAACAACCATTGTATAATCTATCAACTCCCCCGACTAATTCATCTTTATCGATGATCAATAGTAAACAACAATCGAATTCAACTAATTCATCGTTAGGTTCATCGAAAACATCACGATCTGCTGGTGGATTTAGTAGCAGTGGTGGAAGTACTGGTTTAGCAAATTTATCATCACCGCCACTACCTCCTCCATCATCTTTATCGACCAATAATCCTATTAATACCATCACGACAACTACTAATACCAATAATAGTATTAATGATAATAATCATTCAAATGTAACTTCTATGCAATTACAACAATACAAACAATCACAGTTATCAGGAATAAAACAACAACAATATATCGGTATGATGAACAACAATAATCAAACGAAATTTAATTCAGGTGAGTTCAATATTCAATTTGTTTCTTTTTTTTAAAAATGGGACTTTATTCAGTTGACAACTTTTTTTTAACTAGAAAGAAACATACATACTAAATTCTACTGTTTAACTAGGATTCATATTCTGACGAGACTATAATTTATGGACGAACTAATCAGATATAAGATAATAGGTCTCTGATTTTGGCGCGAAATTCACTCATTATTTTGGTTAGATAGAGTTTTGGCATTATAGTTAATGTCGGTTCGTGACGAAAACCCTAAATCTGGTTTCTAACACCGATTACCATGACACGCAACGCTAACCGGTGTTGGGGACGGGTTGGAAGAAAGTTAAGGGCGACCAAACCAAAACAGTACTTGAAGTCAATAACTTCCGGTTTGAGCCATATTGGTAGATGCAGACTATTTGGTTGGAGTCCGCGTAACTATCTTAACCAATGGTTGGAGACTCTGGGTGACATGGCTCAGAATCGATCACAATGGCGTAGGTGTATACGCACTTTGTCTTCTATTAAACTATGAGATTAAAATCGCTTCATATCTTTCTTTCTACCAACTAAATCTTTCTTCCTGTACTATATCGTTATATGAAATCTTTCTTTTATATATTACCACAACTGAATTAACTACTTTTATGAATCCGGTGTTCATCTTGTTGTGTTAATGAGGTATGGCAACTTGGACTGATGCATATATGTGCCTGGTCCTACGTTGTAGCTGACTGACTGACTTCTAACCACACTCATCAACTGTAAATCATAATTCTGTTTCCTCATACAGGTTTACAACCCTCATTTGGTTCTGGTTATTAGGTGAACACTCTCAAGTTCAGATTAGCGTCGCTCAAAGGTCGTCCATAAATTATAGTCTCACATATATGTTTATATTTTTGTGACCAGTTGATTTGACTCCAGTTCGATTAAACAAATGAATATAAATCATACATTTTAACTTCATGTATATTACAAATTAGTTGACCCCTTTTTATGTGATAGCGGTAATAAGAAGCCAAATACAAGTTTACTTGGATGAATTTATTTCAGACATAGACATTAAAAATCAGAAGCAGAGAAACCGAGCTTATTAACTTCTTTTGTTAAAGTGTGACTTAATATTTATAGCCAGATTAAAAGGAACTAGATTTATGGTGAATAGGATAAGTGATACATATACATATGTTGATGTAAAAACAGTTAGGATTATAATTGACAAGGTCAAAATGTGACTCAAGAAGAATAGACAAATTAATCTGTCCGGAAGTTAGAATAATCCCATGTGGATTTAACATGGTACTTAGACACTACAATATATTTGTACTCAGAGTAAACAACAAAACGAACTAATGTCGTATGAAGAGAAGAGTTGACAACTATGAATTAGTAGTATAGAGTCAATTGTCTTATATTGTTTGAGATATATCAACACAAAAGTGTGAAGAAAGTTACTATTCAGTTATTAAGTTATACTGGATTTATTCACTTAGTATTTATTTCCCAATTCGGACCCTAATTGAATGTACGTGTTTGGATTCGTAGTAAAAATCAATGAATACAATCCCAGAGAAATTTCCTAATCAACAATAAACTATGATTAATGAAAAAAAAATTGAGCGTCGAATAAAATAAATTCAGATGAGAAAAAAGAATGACTGTTGTGTATACTGGTGTGTCTTTTTATTGGTCACCATCGAAAAAGCGGAAAAATTAGATAGCTGTTTTGTCCTGCCTACACACAAATCCATTAGAGAGGTTTATACCATGGACTTTTGGTCTCAAATGCTAACGCTTAACCTATAGCCCACTGAATCAGAATCCTATAGTGTAAATGTTTAACATAGATCACCTTGCGATATTGCGTGACCATCTTCAATTACCTATTATGTAAAACTACCTCACTCGGCATAGTTGAAAATCACTAGCCACGACTTATCACTAGAACTTTAAGAATTAGATCTTAACGTTAGTCACTAATGAGTATATGATTATTATTCGTGTCATAGAGATTGTAGAATTTCCATAGTTTCAATTAGTAGTCTAGAGGTTAAGCGTTCGAGCACGAGACCGAAGGTCCTGAGTTTGATCCCCTTTGTCACAATCTGGATTTGGACTGTTGAAGAGTCCCTGACTATGACAAGAAAGCTATCTAGTGCTTTCTAGTTTTCAATAATCGTCTAACAGAATTCATTTTTTATTTTTTTCTATTAGTGTAAAATATCCGCTTTTTGTTTTGTATGTATTTGCTTTAACTACTCATAAGTAGTATGTTGCTTTAAAATATACATTTAAACCTAATAGACGGTAAACTTTCCCTCCACTGAGTAAATTTATTACTTTTGTTCATGAATTGAGTTTTTCAATAGAAACAAACATTTCTCCCTCTAAAAATAAATACTTTCTGTTATGTTCAAGAATATTCTCATGAAATTGCATAAAACTTGTCTATGTGATTTAATTTAGAAATATCATTCTGAATTTAAACAGTTTCGTATGTTATGTAAGTTTCTTCTGAAATGTTGTATCATGATCATACTGACGAAGTCAAATATAAGAAAGAACTTTAAAATAGAATTAATTTAATGAAAGCCAACATCATTGTAAATAGAACCTGTGATTATGGTCACAGATTTTATTGAATATCAATTCCAAATATGTAAGTAGATTATACGATAGTAGTTTCAAGGATTTGTGGAGATTCTAGTATTTTTACAGCTGACATCACGAAGTGATGTTAACTAGACACCACGATTTAAATATGGGAACACAAGACCGCCGTTTGGTCATAGTCAGGGACTCCTCAGCTGTAGCCATCCACGACCTTGAACGTGGGGATCAAATCCAGGAACCTCCGTCTCAGTGGTGATCGGTTCATGATTTCAGTGGAACTCAACAATTTCCACAATCCTTTATTCACTGTTGTCTATGTATTTATCGTCCACAGGAAATGAATGAACGGTGTTTAAGGATCATGGATTGATCAGAGTTAACATTATCACCATTGGATGTCGGTTCAGTGGTCTAGAGGTTAAGCGTTCACGCGCGAAACCGAAAGTGCTGGATTCGATTCCTGGTTGTGGGTGTAGTGCGTGTGCACTGATGAGGAGTCACATACTGAGGTGAAATGTTCTTAATGTGTTTCTAAGTTACACAATAATCAATAATTAGTTTAGGTTATAAAATAAATCATATTAAAGGTGACAAATTGAATAACAAGAACAGTTGACTCAGTATGGATAAGCACAAAATTGACTTAATCCAATATGACCGGACGGATAGAAAATGTATCGAATTGTAAACCAACAGTCTGTATACGACTAACTTATGATAATACAAAGAAGAAAATTGTGAAATAAGAAAAAACTAGTCACTAATAAATAGCACGGAACTATCATATCCGTTCAATAATTTCTTACTAAAAGTTTTACATTTTTCCAATTATATTTTGTGATCTCATTCTCCTTACTTTACTATTCAACTTTATATATCCATCTATACAACAAATATATGTATAGAAGAATATACTGGTCAACATAGTGAACCAGAAGTGGATGCTCATTTAAACATTGGATCAATGATAAATCGTCAAATAAATGAACAACAAAATTTAGTCAATAAATTACAAACTGATTCTAATCATCATCATCACCATCATCAACCACCACCACCACAACAACAACATTATAATCCGTTTTATCTACCATCAAAATCATCTGTAAAGAATACATATGCTCAATCATCAGAATCACAATCTCAATTAAATAACTTATTATTACATCAACAACAAGTCAAGTCATCCATTCAAAATAATAATAATAATACTAACAAGCCTAATTCTTTACAATTATTCACTTCACCTGAAATAATTCATAGAAGTGTTAATAATATGACAAACAACCGATCTGTGTATGACTCAAGTCTTCAAATGATGGATAATAATAATACTCATAATAATATACAAGGTGAGTTAGTCACCTTTAAATTGGTAATAGTTGGTGTATAAAAATTAATTTAACTAATACACTGATGTGATAGGCTTCTGTTGGAGGGGGGACTCATAATGTTCTGTGAAATAAAGTTCAAAAGGTTCCTGAAAACGTTGTGAAGCATTTTATCCAATCAGCATTGAATAGAAATTTCCCAGAAACATTTAAAAAGTAGAGAATCAAGTGTCATATTTCTGATTGAATGATTACCTATTTTGCTACTATGTTTAGTGGAAGGGTTCCAGAAGCCCAAGGCCGTCTGAAATGCTATAAATACCTTAAATTTTCTGTATATAAATTAACCTTAGAGTAAAGCGTTCTTCGGATATTTCGTTCCTTTCCTATCGTGTTCAAGTTGTCGGGTAGATTTACCTGAAGTTATTAGAAGAGTTTACGAAACCGATTCAAGCGTTCAATCAGAAGGTTTATCAGCTTCAAGATACTGGATCATTGGGTGTGAATTGTTCTTTTTGTTGGCATATATTGAGAGATCAATGGATTTAGGAAATTGTAAGATTGTCAGAGAATTTTTAAAAGTATGATATTCAGGTCAACTGAATGTACATCTAATCTATTAACCTATAATGAAAGAGTTCGATTAGTTGGAAGATTATATATCAACTAACAAAGATAGTCAATATGAATATGGAAATAAATGTCAGTCAGTTATCTACAACGTGGGACCAGGCACATATATGCATCGGTCTAGGTTGCCACACCTCATTAGCATAACATGATGAACACCAAATTCATAGCAGTTAATTCAGTGGTGGTAATATATAAATGAAAGACTACAGGTAAGCATATAGTACAGGGAGAAATAATCACTTCGTAGAAAGAAAAATATGAAGCGATTTTAATCTCATGGTTCAAGGGAAGACAGAGAGTGTACACACTTACATCATTGTGATCGATTCTGAGTCATGTCACCAAGAGTCTCCAACCATTGGTTACGATAGCCACGCGGACTCCAACCAAATAGTCTGCATCTCCCAACATGGCTCAGACCAGAAGTTATTGACTTCAAGTACTGTTTTGGTTTGGTCGCCCCTAACTTTCTTCCATCCATCTCCAACACTAATCAGCATTGCGTGTCGTAGTAATCGATGCTCAGGCATATGTAACACGTGGTCCGACCATCTCAGTCGATGAAGATTTACAACCTGATCAACTTATTTACCATCCTTCCCTAATACCCTGATTCTAACCTCACTATTACTTACCCGATGATTAGAGCAGATGCGAGCAGCATTTCCAAGCCGTCCACAAAAATAAATGTCGACAAAAAAGAAATAAAACTAACTATGGCAGTTAATCACAAACAACCCCATCTTAATCAGATTGACTTGATACTTGTAGAATAATTAGAAAACTCATTTCTCCATAAATTAGACGATAATGTTATTGTATACGATGATATTTTTACAGTTAAATTGTTCAGTGCAAAGAAGGCAACAGTATCAAGACGAACATGTAAATAGTTTGTAAATTTGTATTATTATTATTCACATATTTATTGCAGTTTTTCTCACTTTCATACAAATAATTCGTTTTTTCGATTGAAATGATGAAACAACAACATTTAAATATCAGTATAGGGTTGTGGAGATTATTAAGTTTTTGATTGTGATCATGAACCGATTGAAGCTAATCTATGTCAGGTAGAGATAAGTATCTACTTCAACACAATGGAAGATGGTCGCGCAATTTCGTGGATTGGTTGAGGTTAGACATTAACACCATTGGATGCCATCTCAATAGTCTAGCGGTTCACGCGTGAGACCGAAGGTCCTAGGTTCGAATCCCGTGAGTGGGAATGTGCACTGCTGAGGAGTCCCACAATAGTGTGAAACGGTCGTCCAATGCTCCTAGGTGGTCTAACATCAATTGGTTCATGATCTCAATTAAAAAAATATTTGAATAGTTTGAATTTATTAAATGAATGTTTTTTAACTCTTTACCACTTCGATTATATTGAAAAATGACGCTGACTGTGACTACATTGAAGTGACAAAGATTATTTATTATTCTGTCTTCTTATTGCCCTCTCCCTCTCTCCTTGTAATATACAATGATAAAAATTCAAGAGGATTTGAAGAAGTTTCAGAAATTGAACGAATGAATGAATAAAGGAACAAATAATTCATTATGTACTATGGAAGTGCTTAGTAATTATACACCTAAGACCTTTAGGTCTAACGGAAAATACCTAATCGTTAGAATCACTTAGTCAGTAATCAATTAATTTGTGATATTGCTCAATGATTACCCATCGGGATTGTTGAAAACTGTTTCAATGACAATATGTTTGAACTACACCAGTTATTTCTTCTCACTAAAACTTCGGGAACATCTTGAAGTAAATCATATTGGTGAACCAACTATCATAATTTATTTTAACAGTTGAATTCACAAGTTAATCTGAGCTAGACCACTATTGAAAACCTAGGTGTATTGGACTGCCGTTTCGTCCTAGTTTGGGACTCTTCAGCAGTGTGCATTCACGATCCCATACTACAATCTCCAAAAATCCCCATACTGATATTATAATTTAGTTGAAGAGGTTTTGTGAATCATATTCCTTTGTAGTAGGTTAGGCACTATCTGGGGGATATTTGAATTACAGGGTCTTTCAGACGTATTCAGAAAGTTGAATGCAGTTATACAAAACTCAATTAATGTAGTTAATCAACTTTTAGTGACCAAATCCTATTTATTTTAAAGAAATAAGTAGTTTAATGAGATGATTGCACAGTACAACAAATAGAAAATAATCAAGTTCACTTACAATTAATTGTTTATCCGTTAAGTAATGATCATCTATTAGAAACTTGACGGACCGTCATGAGTTCATTCCTCTTTTGTGTTGAGTTATGGTAATCTATTTGTGATGAATCCTAAAACAGGACAAAACATTTATCCATTCCTCGCTTTTGTTTTTTTCTATTAATTGTTTATCTGAAGTTACAGGTTTGAACCATGTACAAATTTAGATTAGTTGAGGCAATCGGTTGCTAGTACCATATTAACTCTGAGATAAACAATCTAATCGAAAGTCAAGTACATAGATATTATGTTCAATAAAGCAATTACCGTTTTTGTTTACTGATTATTATTAATTGATTTGTATATAGGTAACTTGGAGTTATACTATCAACATCCATATGAAGATGTTGCTACAGATGATTATGCTGAAACTAATAGTCAATTAAATTGTACATCTCTACAACAAAATCAATCTTTTAACCAATCACTTTTATCTCATTATCCACAAAAACAGTTTCAATCGTATTTATCACCAACTGAACCATCACTACCACCACTACCACCAACATTAACACCTACACAACAACATATATATCATCAACATGATGGTTGTGGTCCATTATTATTACCACCAATATCTACTAGTTCTATGTTGTACAATAATGAAGTGAACAATCGATTCGGTTATTCAAGAACGGCAACATTGGATGAAGATGATAAATTAAGTTTAGATGAAGACAGTGAAATGATACACTTTACAAATTCACAAATGAATAATAACAATTCAGTTAATATTACTATGACGACAACAACAATGAGTACTATTACTACCACTGCTACTAATATTAGTAATGGTGGTAATAATAATAATACTCACTTGAGTAGTATGTTTAATCCATATACTGTTGCGTTTATCAATAATACTCCATCAAATTATATTCAATCGAATCCATCACACCATACTACTTTATCACATTTTAATCCATCATATTCTGTTTGGAATACTAATGATTCAATTCATCATCGTATGAATAATAATAGTAATATTAACAACAAATATAGAATAAATGATAATCCGTCAATCATTTATCCTAGTGATCAAATGGTATGTTTTTTACTATGTTGAGTAACAGTTAAATAGTTGTAGTGTTGTCTTGGAATGTGTTTCTCTCTTTCTCTCTCTAGTTGTAAAATATTGCTTCATGACTATGCCTGCGTCAGCTTCTAAACGAATGATGGAGGAGTGAAGTAGTTGAGAAAGTCACTTATCTCAGAAGTTCAACCAACCTCGGTGAGGTTGGTGTGTGATGAAATCTCAGCATGAATTCAGAAAATTTGCCTAATATTTGCCAACTTGCCTTATTTATTGATGACTCAGATGAGATGTTCATCTGGTAACCACAAGACAAGTTTACTGAGCAGCATTTTGCTCTATTCTACGTTATAACTATTGAACATGACCTTTAAAACTAAATGTTATTCGTAAGTCGCAAATATTTGTCCACAGATGCCTTCTAGGAGGATTGCTAGCATCAGTGATTGAATGTCCTTTTAGATTTAGGCATAGGATACTAGGGAATGATCTCAAATTAGGTGGCGAATTCCTGGATCTTCATCAGTTGAATTGGTCAAGACATGTGTTACGTATGACCAACACCAGGTGGTGTTAATTGGTGTAGGAGAGGTGGTTGAACGAAAACTAGGGGTGACCAGTAACAGTCCTTGAAATTATTTAACGTTGATTTTAATCATGTTGATATAGGTTCAGACTGCCTAGTTGGGGTCAGCTCGATAAACCTCAATTCAGTGGTTGGGGACGTTAGTTGACATGGGTTTAAGGTTGTATGCCAATGATGAAGTAGAGGAGAGGAATTGGAGTTAGGGTTTACATCACGTACCTACATCAGCGGTACTATAAGAATTTCCTATTGTAGTCAGTGTAGGTGAATAAATTTCGCACAAAAATCGAACAGTCTATATTTTAGATCATTCATGTTGCTGTTTTCTAATCGGGCGAATACATAAAAAAATTATTAGTGGTTTAATGAGCTGCTCGAGATCGTCCTTGTTGTTCATCCTTACCATTCCCTCTTCTCTAATCATATTCCCAATATTCAGTTTCTCTTATTACCATCGCTACTGCAATTACTTTTACTCTGTTTCTATTCATGCCATCATGCTAAGGTGTTAATATGGCAAATTAGACCAACGTATCAGCCTCTACAGTGAATATTACTGACTATCATTCAAAGAAATCTAATTGTTAAGTGACTTTTTGGGGAAAATTATTGATTGATTCCCAATTTTTTTCCACTGTTTATTTTACTTAAAATAGAATAGTGCCAAAGATGGTGTTGTTGGTATTACAGGTTCCAGTGGAATTACACATCCTCTATTAAATGATATTGATGATGTAGGCAGCGATTTTAGTTTGTCTGCTTTTCGTCGTAGTGATGATATTTGTACTCCTTCATCATTATCAAATCGAATATTCAATAATAACAATGGTAATAATAATGATCTCATTATGAATAATCTCCTACCATCATCACAAACCACACAATTACAACATAATAATTATCAACAACAATCTACGGAACATCATAGTTCTAGTGATATTGCTGGCATGATGGATGTTCGTAGTAATGATGGAACATGTGATGAATCAGATGCTAGTTCACTACCGGAACAAGGCTGTGATTTAATGCATTTAGCTCAATTACGTATATCAGCTAGACCGAATCCACTATTAAACGATTTAGCAAAACAACAGGTAATCTTTCCTAATATGGAAAACCTTTTTTTTCTTTGTTTCTGTTTAGTTTAATCGATTAAACATGTACACATATGTGTTCCGATTATGTAAGGGGGTGTTACCTTAAACTAGCTGTGTAATTTTGAAAATTATATCGTGGATTTACGATAGTTAGAGAATCATTAAAGATCGGGAAACATTGGATAGGTATTTCATTTTAGTATGAGGCTCTTATGTAATGTGTATCCACAACCTTATAGGGAGTCGAACGTTCATGCCCCGTAGAAAGCACTTGATTTTTAAACGATTGAGTTCTAACTCAGTGGCATAAGGGTCAAGTGCTCACCTCGAGGCCTGACGATGATCTTTGGTTCGATCCCTGATAGGATCTCGGATCAACATTACCATTTTGACTTAATAATATTTATTGTTAGATGGTCAACAGAAAAACTTAAGTTCTACAGAACATCAGTCGCACATGGAACAGCTCAATGATAACGTCCCAAACTGTGGAGCCAAGTGACGCGGGTTTGCATCTATCAAATAGCGTCAGTTATATCGAATTTACAATTACACAAGTTTTCCAATCGACTACCTCTAACTAAGGTACACTTGATGTTAAGTTACTTTGACTATTAGTTACCATATCACAGGTTAACCGAAAGAATCCGATTAGCATTTAAGTTGTACTAAACAATAATGATATTTATCACCTACTACTTAGTAATTAATTAATTGTAATGAATATCGTTTTTTTCATTGATTTTATTTTAAAACAGGTACAAAGAAACAACAAGTAGACAGTAATACTCTCTCTGCCTGTGTGTGTATCTATGATTTTTCAGCATAATTCATTTGACAACAATAATGCAACGATAGCAACTACCACTATTACCAACATCAATGATCATTTCTTAATACAAATCATGATCTTTTCAAAATTTAATTTAGATAAGAGCTGAATAAAAGTGAATACTCTTTTTTTTTACTTCCATACACCAACTTGTGCATTATACACACGATCTCTCTCTCTCTCTTCCTCTAGGAGGTAATAAAATGGTGCTCTTTTTTTGTTCTATGTGTGATGTTGTTATTTTGTCTGTGACCGATCGCATTTGATTCTTTTCTTTTTTCGTTAATTTTTGTTTTGCCTTATAACATTGTAACTATGGTTGTTTATATCTATATACAAATACAGAATTATTATTATTAGGGATTATTAATTTCTATATTTATAATTAGTTTCTATGTGTATTTCGATAGTTGGGTTTCTCGTTTGTTTGTTTGTTTTTGTACAGTTTTTTTTATACGTAATTTTCTCTTTTTTTTATACACAAAAAAATGTTTCTTTTTAACCAGTTTAAATATTTTCATTTATATACATATACATATAAATCTATTAACTTATTGTTAGCTGATGATAATGATGATGCTAGGCGATAATTCTCTTCATTAGCCTTAATTATCCGTTTCTATATTGAAGATTCATTTATTTTCTTTCTATTTAGTCTTGTTCTTCGTTTTCTTCTTTGTTTCACTGGGGGGGGTTACTTTTTTGTTACGCAATTCTTTTAAATAAGAAACTGAATTGCTTAAATTATTGACCATTAAATAATGATAACAGTGTAAAGGGTTTATGTGTATCTGTGTACGTACATGCGCTCACTCACTTGTTCCTTCCTTTCAAACATTAAAATAGACATTGGAATCGAAGAAGAAAAGCGAACTACAAGTAGCAATATTGTTCTTTTTTCTAATAACCATTATTATTTCAATTATCCAGTTGGAATTTGTTTTTTTTTATCATTCTTAGACCATATTGAATTGTATTTAAACCTTAATCATCAATATTCTTCTTCATTGAGACATTTTTTTAAAACTTGTTCAATTTTTTTATGACTGTTAAAGAGAATAATACATAAAAAGAGAATTTGTATTTTATTTCATGAATGAAATGTGAAATCAATCAGTGCGGGGGGGAGGGGTAAGGATGTCCTTCTTTCTTTCTTTTTTTTTAAACCTTGGGACACTCAATCAATCAATAAAGAATTACTATCCATTAATATTGTTACTATGTCAATATGTTTTTTATTATTATTATGTAAATGAAGAAATGCATTTCAATTGTGTATTTGATCGATCTTTTATTCTTTATTATTATGATGATGATCATCTTAATTCTTAGCCTTTTTATTTGTTTTTATGAATCATTTTATTGTTTGTATTATACATGATTGTTTTGTCACCATTTTTTGGAAATTTTAATGATTTAAGAACAGTTTTATTGTTCATTGAATGAAAATCAATAAATGAAAAGAGGGTTTTTTCCTTTATGTAAACATCTTTCTACACAATTTCTCTTTATATATATATATTTACATACAATAAATGAATATACTATTATTTGATAATTGAGAGAGTTATATTCATTTATGTCATATTCAGTGTTTTTGTTATCGCAAATTGTTACACTCTGTAGTGCAAAATCATCTACAGATCAACAAAAGTATAAATCCACTGACATATATATATATATATATATATATATATATATATATATATATATATATATATATATGCATATGCATCCATTGATATATATAACCAGTATTATAAACAGAAATGGATGGTGGCTAGTAGTAGAGTCCAGTGTCAGTTGGATGTACTTGTCATATGTCAGGATTGATGTTTACCAAGTACCGTTCGCTTCAAACATCGCGCCATCTATTTAGCTACTAAGTTAAATAGTTCAAATGGTTATGGACGGAATAAAAGAAGCTTTCGCTTAACAGACTTCTGTGTCTAGTAGCAATGGATCACCAATACCTCCAGGCACGAACCTAGGTATATTAACGATAATAGAGGAAAAAATAAATTGATATACCATAGTAAGATATCCTTAGTCCTTAAGAATAGGTCAAGTTTCCTCTCAAAACTTCTAGGAAGTTGCCTGGACTAGCTCAGCCGGCAGCGAACTCCAGCATTTGACAGCTCTTAAGGAATAGTTGTGTCTACAGTTTATTCTGTCATGTTGTGTCGCCAGTTTCTGGGCGTTACCCCTCAGATTTACGTTGGAACTAAACCTAAGTAATTAAAATAGCCACTGGTTTGTGTAATGAGGTGAAGCTTCATTCATTTATATTGGTTGTTTTCATTTCCCCACTGGTGTTTAGATATGAAATTAGTCAGTCTTTTTTGGTATATATATACATCCTGTGCGGATTGCCTCGATATGGTCATATCACAAGCATTTCTTAGCAGAGATAGATGGTGGCTAGTGGTGTAATTAACTAATACATGCACAGAGAGAAAGAGTAAACATGTGTATTAAGCTGTTCAATAACGAAATATTTATCTACGAGTATAGGGACGACAAATTTTCAGCCAGCTCTTGACAGATCAAAATTTTTAAAAAAACCCAGCTTTTGTAAATGGATAGTTCATGAGAAAGAAAACAAATAATATTACAAAGTGTAAACAGATCTTATACAACTAACAAGTTTATCACTGTCTCTTACAGGTTAACATACCTATGAATTTGAAACACAAGGACATATAAATTTGTCATTATGAAGATCCTATTTCGAACCCTTGAAAAGACCCAAGTTTCCAAATTCTTCCTGGCTAAGGAATAAATGTTAGAATCTAAGATTAGAAGTTAGGGCCGTAATGTACGAATACTTTGTAGCCATATAGTTTGAAAGTTTACGATTAAGATTAGGAACTTAAAATTTAGATCGGTATTATGAAATCGTGGTTAAGATTTAGGATTATTCGCTGGATATATACATCCTACATACAAAGACTCAAGTATTTAATACAATCACTTTATAAAAATCGTAATTTTTGGTTTTCAGTTTTAACCCTCTCAGCGCTATACAGAAGTGCTTATACTAACTATTTTGTGCGAAATAAGATAAATCGCTTATGTCCAACTTTAGCTCAAACGCTTGAAAGTTGTTTTCTCGACTCTGATTGACTTGCCGTTGTACTATTGTTTTGTTGATTATCAACTTGTTCATTGATGTGTTTATTGTTGTATTCATGTCAAGGATGTTTTAGAACATTGTAGAGCCGTGATTTTATGATTGAATCGTGTTCAGCATTTACAAAACACCACCCCATCCACTTCGGTTGGAATAGTAGTAGATAATATCATTAGTCTCGTGCTATTTGGCACTCGAACGAGCTTCATAGTAATTATGCTAATCTTCACATTGCGACTTGGTCGATAGAACTAGACCAGCAATGAAAGATTGGACGTTGGTCCCTACTCAATGATCAATCGGTCGTAAATGCCATGCTTATACAAAAGTTTGGTAGAAATTGGGGACTTATATTACAAATCGTTTTAGACTGTAAACTTTTGAAGACGTCATAGGTGGTTACTACGATTAGGCGACCTTGTTGGATTTGATATGCATGTTACGCAGGAGGATTTTATTATTTGTAATTGAAGAACTCCGAGGAATTGTTAAATGAGTACAGTGCTAATCAATAAATGAAACCCATTGATACAATATGACTGAGTGATCCTTGCTCACTATACCAAATTATTGGCAAAAATAGATAAATAATGCATTATATGACAAGATCATTAACAAGAAGAACAGGTTTTCTGTCTAATAAAATAACACACTCAAACGCTATATTATTACAATATAAATGTGATAAATTGACATAGACGGCTGCAGGACACCAGTTATTTTAGATTACTCACACCCCGAGTGCAATTTCGCCTAACTCTTCCATTTCACTTCAATTAACTTTCACTTATTGTGACGTACTAACCACATTAAAGTTGGTCAAGCCCTTTGAGGTAAAGCCTGTTGGTTTTTCTGATAGATGAAAACCAGACTATAAGGCAAACATATCCGCTCAAAGTATGCTTTTAGGGTAAATCGTGGTACCTGGGTCAAGTATACATCACATGCATACCAGTAACACATGTTTCCACTTATGCATCACTTGGCATACACATAGGCACATGCATTACTTGGGTAGTAGAATGATCACCACTCCCTTCACTTGTATATGCTACTCATTATTTCTATTTTACAGACGTGTTTTTTCGTTCTAATTAAGCCGACTCTTTGTCGTAAGGCAGACTATTTTTCTGGATTGTTGCGTACACCTACATACCACAATGACACGGGTCGAGACTAACAGCTATATATATAAAGGACAGTCGTAAATGATTTTTGTTACCTTGATGAATGGCCACCGAAGTTACAGCATATGACTAATCCGACATCCTCCGAACGCCCAAGTTAGATCGTGAGGTTACCCCCATTACCCAACAGGATCACAAGGAGGCTTTTAGTCGGATTTCGCTGCTTAAACTAAGTCTCACATGTTGCAAATTCCCTGACACACAAATCGATTTTATTCACCATTAAGTTACTTCTCACCAAATAATAACTGTCTTGACTAATTATACACTTAAATTTTACTGCAATACTTTCGTCTATTTAAGGTGTTCATCTGTTAGTACTACTTCTGAACAATTTTTGAGGATACAAGATGAGAAAATGACTCAATTAGATCACATATACTATATGGTCTTTTTTCCCCAAATGTCATCTTACCTCTATCGATAAGATTATATAATCTTATAACTAAACTGGCTTATCTTTCTCCTCAACATCAGTGGTTAGAAGTCAGCAATCTAGACCACTAGATGACTTCCAACCGGTATGCGTAACAGGTTCAAAACTCTTCCTACTTTATTATTTCACTTTAAAAAGACTAGTTATGTCTATAGCCACGTAAACCTGTATACTCGGTTGTGGAATAATTGCGTAAAGACAATATGCGAAATTCATATTTAACATATTTAAAGCAACAATTAACTTGACAATGATCCGGATATATTGAGTCGACCATTTGATTTATTCTTTCTCAATATACGAAAAGTTTGGAAAATACTAATGCTTCTGTTTTGATAGAGTCTTCGAAGGTTTTTCATTTATTTCCTATAGTAATAGTGTGGTGTGAGCTACTTATATTGATATAAGTAGTATATAACGTGCGTTAAAAGAACGTAATGTCCGGCAGCAGAAGATGGCGAAGATCAAGAAAGGTAGAGCGAGAACACAATGAAATTTGTAAGAAAACGCATGTACAATGGAATGGGAGACAATGGATTAGTGTTTGCAACGGAAACAGTCCAGTTTGATATAATGCATTGATATTTTTGCAAATTGACGATTGACTTTATGGCATTCAGATTTTATTGAAATAGACTGTAATTTTTGTGCTAAATACATCTGTTTATCCCCACCCGTGTTCTCGTTCACTACAATAGTAAGCACCGGACAACTCGAATTTCCTGTCCTGTATCACTTCTGCGTGTATTTCGCAGATAATTCGTTATTACCTGATATTATGAATTGTCTAATCTACGAAAAGAACTTATACATACTTATCATTGGTAATACATGAAAGTGCCCAGGACAGAGTAGGTTGGAGAATGCTGGTCGGCGGCCTATGCTCCATTAGGAGTAACAGGCGTAAGTAAGTAAGTAATACATGAAAGTAATCAGAAAGATGAACATACAAATGATTCATTTAATTATAAAGCTTCATTTTCATAATTAGAAAAGTAACATGCTCTTGTGTTATTATTCTTTCAGAAGATTGATAAAGAATAATGATTATACATTAGTCTTTATCCGTTTTTAATTCAGATGAATTTTTACGCAGCCTTACAAGTTTTTCTACAAAATAATTACTTGTTTAGTTAAACAATCATATTAATACCTTCACATTGGATTAAAGCATTTGTACGAGAAACAGGAAAAAAGATATTGCCGCCAAAACGTTCGTATATAGGCTACGAAATAAGTGGTTCAAACAGGAGATCAATTAGTTAAGCTACCTGTGACGAAACAGTTTGTTTCAATTCGTTTTGGACAGTTTCTTGTATAGCTATCTAAAAAAATTATCATTATCATAGCGCAAAGACCAAACATACCTGCTCATTCAACGTAGGCATGGTTTGATGCTCATTTATTCGGCAGCAATTCAATCTACAAATGGACATCAGAAAATGGTGCGCTTGTTAACTAGTAAACAACATTGGTTCAAAACACATGTCTTTAATGACGGAGGAGGACACCAATATCTATTTTATTTATTTAAACACATAAACATTGGTGCAAAGGGGCATCAAAATATATACGAACCACACAAATCATTGAGTTTGTGATGGGATGCCGCCTAGTTGCTCAAACTGAAGAAGATGGTTTACTTAGGGGACCACCTCTCCCCGAGACTTTGGCCCACAGGTTTGATTATCGTCTGATGCGATTTCATAGTAACCTGTA